GACTGAATTATTCTACATTGTCTTGTTTAGAAAATGTTGTTGTTTCGATAAAAAAATTCTTGTAGAGTTTTACAGCCAGAAAAAAAATGTACTCAAGTCGTTTTCTGAAGCTTTAAACTATAAATATAAATTTCTAATTTTTAGTTTATTTAGATTACGTCATTTAAGTATAATTTTTCCTGACATATAGATGTGGCATACAGATTTTGGTGATTGTAAGATAATTACAAATAAGAAGGTTCTTTAAATTTTTCTGCACATTCGAATTTTGTATATTTAAACTGCATGATCGATGCATTTTCACAGAATTTTTCACGCTCTTAAAACATGCTAAAATTATGTCGTTTGTTTGTTTTCTCGTTGGAAACAATGATACGGCGCCCTAGCGAATTGTGCATTTGCGAGCAACGTAAAAACGAAAGTTGCAGCGCGCTAGGAGTGCAAGCGCGTGCATAATTGAGAATGCAGAGAGTAACGCAAATCGAGTGCACAATGCGTGAAGGCCACCAGGCCAATTTACGTGGTCTTCCTTGTCCGGAGAAATGCTCTAGCTTTCGTCATAATACGCATTAACAGAACGTGTTTTCAAAGTCTTCCGGCCAACGGGAAAACTACTGTTGCAAAGCGTCCATGTTAGTTCTGCAGCTATCGTCCATTTAAATTTCTGCTTCTATTTGCTAAGAATATCTTAAAAATTGTTACAGTCCAGAATCCATCGATATCAATTAGGTATGCAAATTAAACGATGAAAATAGAATCATTTAAAATAACAAATATTGAACCAACAATATCGTACGTAGAGTTGAAATAATTAATATCGCTAAATTCTAATAAGGTTACTGGTAATATTTTGCAAAATAAACACTGAGACTTGAATTCATGAACTGAATTAGTCATTAGGCGCGTGTAGGAAGTTCCTGGTAGAAACACGTACTGTAATTGCAGCGTCATGCGATCAACAATTAGTGAAGGGGAAGTGTTTTAGCGAATCTTGCCAGTGTAAAAATTTATTGGACCGCAACCATTTTACATCATATTCGGAGAAGGTGAATCTGAACATTCTGTGAATATTTAGCAACCGATACATGCTAAAATATATTTATTATTTGTGTTAGATAATGGTTCCAGAAATAAGAACATCCCTTCAAACTCTAATTTTTCTATATTTTTAAAACCATCAGAGATATTGGAAACATCAAATTAGTAGTAATTTTACATGCTGATATATTTTTTAAACATTCGTTGGCTTTAAATGAATTTCGTATACATTACATAAACATAGGATAATTATCTGAACATAAAAGTAGAATGCAAACACTAATTCCTTATTTGGAACAAGTAAATTATTTAAACAGATATAGAATTTGATAATTAAATATTGAAATATGTCAATAAAAACAAAACATACAATCAAAATAATGTATAGTTAACGATAAGATAAATGCAACTATTAAATTTGATTTCTGTTTGAATAATTTGATCGTTCAAAGTATGCTCCAAACATGATAAATGAACAAGGAACATGATGAATGGCTGACCACGTGGTAATTAGTGTTTGCAACTTTCTTTTATGTTCAAATAATTACCCTATTGCGTGTGATTAATTAACGAATCAAAGAATTTCTCTTTTGCTCCCTAAAATAAAAATATTTGGATACATTGCCGAATTTATGAGATCGTGTCGTTAGAATTTTGCTTTTTAAGCAATATTGTCATGATTCATTAACATCGATTGACCTTAACCTTTTAATTATCAGCACATCCATATCTTACGTAACTTTCCTTACCATACTCCTTGTCTGTGGCTGTGATAAACATGTGCAAAATAATTAACGCGTTCTAATGGCGTACGTAAAACGAAATCATTTAATGCTAACATATTAATCAGTTTATTATAATAAATATTTGAGATCATTTAACTAGGATTATTAAAAGAAATCTTTACGCAATGTCGCGTAGAATTACTATACTTCTCGAGCCACATTTTTGTAGTTACGTGTAATAGTTCTAATTAGGAAATTCAGAGAATTCGTCGTTAGGATTCTATGCACGTTTGCACTACAGTTTAATTCCATAAAAGACTCTAATTCCTACACTGGTTGTTTTCACTTCTTTCCTGTAGAATTCGCAGTAGACAGAATCGAACGTTAATTCTCTTCTCTGCTAAATTATTTTACTTCAGAAAATTTCGCTATCCAAACCGATCGATCTATAATTTACATGTTTTTAAACTTTCATTCTTTAAAATTGCATGCATCCGCTTGCGCTAGAATTGCAATAGTATAATTATTACTGCTACAAAATTCATAAGAATCGTGTCGATTTCAGTTATATAAAACTTCTAAAAATTGCACCATTTACGGTTTGCAATCGTGCATTTTTCATTTTTTACTCAGAAAGTAATGCTATTATAAAAACGAGAGGCCCCCACACCTGCTATTAACTGATTAAAGTAAACAACATTTGACATAAATTTCGAGACATCAATTTATTTTCCAGACGCTGTTATAACATACAAAATATGTACTTTACATTTGTTTACAAAATTATTCGTTTATATAAAACATTTGTCATTAATATGAAAATTACATACTTTCCAAAACCAGTATACATAAAACGCGTATATTAACATCTTTTGTTCCAACATACACTCCTTAAGAATCTTGAAAAATGAATTACAAAAATACAAAAAGCTACGTATGTATATTCTGAGTAATTATAATTTCGATATTAATGGAAAGTTCTAAAAGAATTGCATAATATTCTTCTCCAGCAATGTTCATAAACTCTGCTTAATAATTTCCGTTCGATACCATCAGATTTAAAAGAAACTATTTTAGTATATCAGGATTGCAAAAAATATATGGGATCAATTTCCGTCTATCGACGAACAGTTCGACGCGGTGTTGCTTTCCGTTATAATGCATCGGGCACGCGTGTTTAATAGAAAGGTGGAAACCATCCTACTTTCTATCGTGGCTTAATAAGACGAGATTTATTAACCACAGTGGCCGAGCAGATCGCAATACGCTCGAAATGTTCTTCCTAGAGCGGCGATCGTACGTTTTCCTCGGAAGCAGTTGTTCGATAGATCGATAACCATTTCGTAACCGCACCCGAGTTACTTTTACGCCGGAAGTTCCCTTCATTCCGCTTCCCTCGCGCGGTGAACACGCGAGAAATGGATCTCGTGGAAATAGGAATAGGATTTTCACAACACGGGGCCGATTCGAATAATTTATTTGTTAAAACGAAAGTTTCGATATAGTAGAAAGCAAACTACGTTAAACGCATTACTCTGTAGCAACCTTTCCACGCCGACTCGACGAATAAATTTATTTATTAACAGTGTTGAATTTTACATAAAAATAGAAATTTATTATCTGTCGTGTAAATGGAGGATACAGTTCACTGGTAACCAGAGCAGGGGCAATTTTATTCGAAACGAAAATAAGAAATAATGTTTCAGGCATTTTAAAGGATTAAACTATTATCGTATTTTTTATTTTAAATATTTGAAAGAATTTAAAGTACATCTGCTTTTTTCAAGAATGATTATTACTTTCAGGATCGTTTTACGTAATAAGATAACGTAATTATATTTGAGAAACGAAACGATCGTGAAATAAAATAGCATTGCCTTTGAAATATTATTTTAAGAGTGCCCAGGTCTGATTAGTACAATAGAAATATGAAATTAGTGCTGCTTACATGTTATCACAAATAGTGCAAAGCGAACAGTTTCAAGTCACGTGAACTAAATTTATACTTAACGTAGAATAATATTTTATTATAACGATTAGCATTATTATAAGCTGCAATTGTGACGCTGTTTAAATCGTGGTTACAAAATTTATGATAAAACGTACGATTGCAAATACTTATTTCAATTTAAAGCTGTAGGAAAGATAAATGCGGAAGCTTAAACTGTGGTCGATGTCACGAAGGCAAACAAAATTTTTATTAATTATACATTTCATACTAAAAAAACTCTGAACCTTGTTTCCTTGGTTATCATGATGAAAAACGTAATTTCATAATTTATCTATTCTGTATAGAACATTGAAGGTTTCAGCGACAAACAATTAGCGTCCAAAAAGTCTTCTGTAATAGCAGTGTGTATAATATTTTTTAAATAATTACTGCTTAAGAATTAGCATATATTATGTTTAAAAAGACACTGTAGTATTTTATATCTCTACGACAACAATCTCATTTTCCCCTCTTCGAAACACTTCATTTCTGGGCTGACAAAGGAACCAGAGAATCCAATTTTAAATTCTTCCCAACAATTTGTAAGTAGAACTCATTAAAATTTTTCATTTTTGGATTTTACCTAATATAAAGCAGAGCTAAACAATTACATGTATCAAGGTGAAAGGACATTTCACATTTCTCTTTTCCAACCAGGAACTCGAGCAAATTAAAAAACAGTGTTTTAAATTTTTTCGATCGATCCTTACATATGACTTTCTAAAATTTCTAACTTTCATATTTTCTTTAACTCATTAGCTACCATCGGTGCAAAAACGTAATTTTAATTATTGATTTTCTTGCAATAACTTATAATTTTTCTTAAATATATATATTTTAATTTGTATTATTTTTATTATTAATTCACCATTTCTTGGGCAGTTTAATTCGAAATTAAAAAACCAATCCTTTAAATTTCTTTTCCTTCAAATCAAAAACAATTCAAATCCATGCTTACTAAAATTACTAATTTTCGAATCTTCTCCTATACAGAGCAATACAATTGCCTAATCCAAAAGTCAAACCCAATCAAACCCCTTCAAACCTTACATACTACTCTCCACAATGTCCAATAATCACCCGAACATTTATCCCTAACATAAAATAGAGTTAAACAATTACATACACCAAGACCAACAGCCAAATTCGCTTCTCTGTTCCTAGTTCCTCTGGTCAACCAAGTCAAACAACCCCAAACCTCAACGCGTCAGTTCATCAGACAGAATCCTCCTCGACGTTCCCCCGGTTCAATGCCTCTGATACTCCTGTACGGGCTTGGTGGACTCGAATTCCGGTTCGTATCGGCCATTGTTCAAATAATAAACCTTGCTGGTGTAACGTGACGACCTTGCGTTCTCAGGCAAAGGCTGAGGGACGAACACCGCTTTTGGCTGATGTGTGATGCTGTTTGCAATAACGTTGTAAGGCAACTGGGCCTGGAACTTCAGCAGCTCCTGGATCTCCCTGGGCATGTTCTTATTGAGGAACAGTTTCGGATTTGGTGGATCGGGTATCCTCTCGTACGGTACCGACACGTACTCCTGCTGTGCCGCTTGTGGCTGCTCGGGTTGATTGTAGTCGTCCTTGTACACGATTCTGCCCTGGAGTCCTCTGTCAGAGTACTCTCGTCTAGACTTGTGCTGTTCTGCTTGCTCGTAGCTGTTCGATAGCTGTTCATAATTAGCGATCTCTGTGTTCGACGATTGCTGTTCGTGTTGCTGGGGTCCGGCGTAGAGGACAGGCGATTGATCAGGATAGGAACGTTGGGGCTTGAAGTTCTCCAGGATCGCCTGTTTCGCTTGGACCAGCGCCTCCGGGAACTGCTTGTACTGTATCTGATTAGGCTCCGATTGTGCTTCCAGTTGAGATTGAGTTTGCGGATACGCTTTGTACTGTATCTGAGACTCCAATTGCGGTTGAGCTTGCTGATAGGTCTTGTACTGTATCTGATTTGGTTCCTGTTGCACCTCAGGCGACTGTGCTTGCTGGTACTCCCTGTACTGTATTTGATTTGGATCCTGTTCCCCTGCAGACTGAGGTTGCGTGTACTGTTTGTATTGACTCCTGTCGTACTCTTGCTGCACCTGCAACAACTGAGACTGATGCTGGATCTGCCCTGGCCGCTGAGGATGAACAAGCTCAGACTGTCCACGCTGATAGCGGCGCGAGTTCTCCAAGTGGGAGCGCCATTGGTTCTGGGGGGCAAACTGCTTCCAGTCGACCTTCAAGCCTAGAAAAGAGGAAAGATGGTTTGATGTCCGCGTTGGTGACCGGTTTTCAGTCGGTTGCCCGTGCAATCGGTGAGGAAACGATGCTGTAACGCAAAGGTAACGAGAAAGTTATCGCGTCTAGTGCGGTTTGGCGTCGATAATGAAACGATTCCTCTTCGGTGACAATAACACTACTTTCGAGATTCTTCTTTCTACTATTATTTTCCATTCGTTCTCTGTTAATTTTTACATAAAATCTTTTCAATCTCCGTGGAATTCTCCATCCTTTCAATGAGCAAAGACTAAATTCCTGATCTCCAACGTTCTCTTTTCCTTTCCCTATCGTTGCAACGCGTTATTAAAATTTATCTTTTCCAACGCTAAATATTTTTAAATGGGCTCTCATCGATATTAGAAGCTGTACTGAACCGTGACACAATTTATCATTGTTATTTATCAATCCTCTTATTGCCCATAGTTTTGTGACTCTTTCGTTTTGGTATCGTTAAATATTCTATAATATATTTTTCTTGGGAAAATTGTTACTGTATATTCTTTGGAATTTACTCACCATTGGGGTCGCTGTACTTGATTTGTGCCGAAGAGGTACGCGCGGTACGCTGAACGTTCTGCTGTTGCGCCAACGTTGTCGAAATCAAAGCGACGAGAAGAATCTGCGAACAGATTCGATCGTGAATAAATTATTCGCCATGAGAAACCCTCCGGGTAAGGACGCGTGCAACGATGCTGTAACGGTAATGGGATCCGTTAGAAAGTAAAGTCTTCCTGGGACGGTCGTCTTTCTCCGCGAGCCTTTAGAAACCGATGCCAAACGACGTCGCACGCGGAAGGGAATTCGTACGATTGTTTCGTTCAATAAAACGTTTGGCTATCTCGCCGTGTTTCCGCGTTAGTCTTGTTACTTAGCATAAACTGGCCGTGTTACAAATAACCATCAGCACTACTTTGTAATAACGTCTAACGTTTCACTTCCTCCTATAGAATCGACCATAAAAAGCGAGGCCTGACCATGTTTGAATACACTATCGACTGCACCGAGTCGTTTTCATTAAACCTACGATTTAACCGGTTGGAAATCCAGCCTGTGTTTCGATGGATGAGCTATGAACGGTTTTTAAAAGTATTTCGTGACTGGTGTTCAGCGTTAGAAACTCCGTTGAAACGAACGAGGTACACGATCGAAAGAGATTAGAAACGTTTAAACGAGAAACAATAACTGATTAAATCTTATTAAGGCCTTATCTCCTGTTGTTAATTACGTCTTTAGTTTAAGTGATAATGGTCGTGCGAGGCACGAGAGGTGTTCGGCCGAGTAATGGGCGACGTCTAACAATGAGATACGGTAAGTGCACGTATGCATGAAATTTACATCGTGATTTGAAATTTAATAATCGGGTATTTATCCAAGCACGAAGATTAGAATTTAAGGAGTAAGACGTTACGGATATTAATCTTCAAAGATAATACTTTATCCGGGGACTTTAGTTAATTTCTATCCACGAGTTCAATTAGAATGTTCATTTTTTAATTTACCTTTAGGTTCTTTCTGAAATTTAGTCTGTTAAAGTAGCTACTAGTATAGATAACGTAAATCTGCTAAAAGAAACTACTTTGCTATGTCAAACAACATGGTCAAACTTGCTCAAACTTAAAACGACCTAAAATTGAAATGAAATAAAAATCATGAAAGATCCACGTATGTTATTTTAAATTACGGCCCCCACGGAACCAGCATAACTATATAGAACACAGTAACATCAAACCGAATTTTCCATCGGAGAATGTTACTCAACAAGATTCTAAAACATAATTATCATCGAAGTTAAACGAGTTCCAAGTCAACATGACCAAACAAAACTATCCCTCGTGAAACAAACGCGATCAAACCCATTGTGTCTAAAAAATAATTATCATCGAAGTTGAGCTCGTTCCAAGTTCGGTTAATGTCGCAATAAAATTGTGATCAAAGCTATCCTTGTCAAACAAACACGATCGAACCCATTGTGAAGTTCTAAAAAATAATTCTCATCGAAGTTGAGCTCGTTTCAAGTTTTCCTCTACTAACATCACCATAAATAGTGGCCAAAGAAAACTGTCCTCGTCAAACAAACACGATCAAACCTATTGGTACGTTCTAAAAAATAATTCTCATCGAAATTGTGCTCGTTCTAAGTTTTCCTCTACTAACATCACAATAAATAGTGGCCAAGCAAAACTATCCTCGTCAAACTCGATCAAACCCATTACCACGTTCTAAAACAACAATTATCATCAAAGTTAAGCCCGTTCCAAGTTGGCATCACGATAAATTGTGACCAAGCAAAGCTATTCTCGTCAAGCAAACGCGATCAAACAGATGACCACGTTCTACAAACGAAGCTGGAAAAGCCTCTCGATTCTGTTCACCAAGAGCAACGTTCACTGTTTCGAAACTTTCGAATCAACGACTCAAGGTGTCCTAAGAGCACTTATGAAATTAATGATTAATTCCGCTGGCAAGCTTCCATATACGTGTCACGAATGCACTCCTCCGCTCAAAATATGGCACTCACTAAAAATGCGGAGAGAATACGAGAAACGTCCCGAAACGTCGGATCTACCCTCAAAGAGCACGAAAAATCGAAACGGATCGCCGATGGAGGATCGTGAAATGATTATGTTCGTTGAGCTCGAAGATCGTATGCACTCACTGGGAGCCTCATGGCTGGAGACGATGAACGTTGGATGCTCGATTCACGGGTGTACGGGTGGAAATCAGCCGACGGGGCCGCGCTGGCTCTTCTATATAGTCGGAGTTGCCCCGGTGTAATTGGTCGGCCAAGCAGACGGCCGGTGGCTACCTACTTTTAAAGTAATTCTGCCTCCGGTAACGAGCGAACCACGAGGGCCCCCGGGATATTATCGCGGCCGATTGCAAGAATGCGTCTCTGTTGCAACGCGGTTACAAAGTCGATCTAGGAAGCTGCTTGGACACCCAAGTGTCCGAGGTTACGAGTTTACAACCTTTCATCGGAGGAATATTCACGAGGAGGCACTGGGTACACGACTTGTCGTTTATCAAACTTTTACAGGATCAGACTTCAATCTTCAGTCGTGGACGTTGAAATATCTTACAAAGATTCGAAATTCTCAGGAAAAATAAAATCATTTTTAACCCTCAGGTGGTCCTCTGTTTTACTATACACTGATGATCTTTAAAACAAAAATAATATAAATATATTTTCTTCAGAAAAGTAAATAAGTTTTATTATAGTCTTGTCCATGATTGCATTAGTTTTTAAATAAATAAATCTTGGGTATACAATTTACATTAACAATTCTGTCAAAAGACACTTTTTGGTCAGAATAGATATGCATAAAGTGTTTTTAAAGTGATTTGATAGATCCTGAAGGATTTCGTGCGTCTTAATTGTTTTGAAAGACTTGGTGAATGGTTGACTGGTATCGAAAGTCTTTACGAGTGTCGAATGTCTCGAAAGTTTTTACGAGTGTCGAATGTCTTGAAAGTTTTGAGAGCTTGGCGAGTCTTATTAGTATGGAAAGTCTTTACGAGTGTTGAGTATCGCGAAAGAGTGGATGAATCTTAAATTGTTTTGAAAGTTCTGACGAGCTTTGATTAGTCTTGAAAGTTTTAACGAGTCTCGAACGTTGAAAAAGTTTTGCTAAACTACGTGTATACATGCAGCGAGTAAAACGTAGAAGCTACTAATAATTATGTAACACCATGGAAGCTACGCAGTGAATACTTTGAAATCGGATAAACCGAAAGAATGAATTATTAAATCCTTGTATCTCAATGGCTGAATGTAAGTTCTAGCAATAAATCAAATAAAAGAAAGCCGTAGGCATTCTACACTTTCATCAGCGCAAAATTAAAGCAGCCTATTACTCAATCGGTCCTTTATAAGTCAAAGAAATCCTGAAGCTAATGAAACCTGTTTCGTGCATCAAACGGTTCACCTGCACTCCGTTTGAACGTAACGCGAGTAAAAATATTTTCAGCTCTTCCATTTTCCAAGAAAATAACAAAATAAATAATCGAACTTGTGTTTAACGCGCGAAACGATTTACATGAAATAAGAATAACGAGCCATTAAAATAATCAGAGTACAACAACTTTCATCGTTGTATCTTGTTAGGAATATAATCCTGCATTTTTTAAACGAAGGATCGTATCTTCTAATTGTATAAAATATTTCTCTTTAAACCTATTCGACTACAAATCCTCGATCCTGCAATTGATTCATAGTGACATTGTTGGTTATTTAATAAAAGCTTCAAGGAAACTCGAACGATAAATCGTCCTCTAAAAAGAATATTAGAAAGAATTTCTTGCAACAATGAAATCTTGATCGAAACTTTCTCAAATCGACGAGATAATCGTATGCCAATGCGAAGCCCCTGAACTTTCGAATGCGAAAAAATGCAACGAGACAGACTGTAAATAACCGAGCTTATCTCCACGATGCATGCTCGTCTCTCAAGAGCAAACACGTAATTCAATGGTAATATATGTGAACAGTTTCATGGCGGACGGAATTCCCCATTGGTTTGGCGCAAAGATTCCTCGAGATCTTTTATTTAATTTAATTCTTACTTGAATTCAAATTTATTATCGGACGGGGTATCTTCCATTAGTTTCATACGTCTCTACGACCGAATGTTTCATTCGTGAATCCAGAAATTTGTCGATGCACCCTTTAAAAAAATATATTTATTAATTTGCATTGAGTCCTTTTAAAATTCTTGACGTTTGAAACATGATACAGTAAAAAGTAAACAATAAATGTTTCGTCACGAAACCGAGAAGCGTTTCGTGACACACTTTTTGGGAATAATTTTCGAAAATTTGATCCACGTTGCGACAGAATGGTTCGCGGAACCGGTCGCCGTAGCAAATTTAAGACCTTATTAAATAAATCTGAGTTACAAAATATTACAGAAGGGGGACGTAATGAGCTCTAAACGAACTATGAAAACCTCATAAACCCGAGGTTCGAGAGGCCACCTCGGTCTTTTTGTCGGACCTAAAAAATCACAGTAATTTTCGAAATTACCGGATCCTTGTTACCCTCGTTACGACACGTACTTCAACGGTGAGAAAAAATAGAAATGCAGGAAGTTTTCGCGTTACCGTTGTAGCGTCTGTAAAAGTGGAGGATAATTTTTACTTATCGCCTCGATTTCTGTTTGAGCAACTAATTAATTTACGTAAGCTCTCGAACCTTTTATCTCGTTAAAACGGTAACGAAGTATTGTTACGAATATTACGAACGAGGCAAAAATATTAAGTAATACTTTGTGTGAAAATGTTGTCTGCAGTAATCTTAAATAGGTATATATTTAAAGAATGTGTTTCTAATTAATTGATAAAGATTCAGGCTCTATTTCTAATTTGTTAATGTACTGAAAATGTAAAAATTTCGGATAAAAATTGTATATATTAATTTATTCATCGCTTACTGACACAAATAAAATAATATTAATTCTCTTATAATTAAAAAATTATAAGAACTGCTGATAGAAACTGTGGAGCAGTGAAATCTGAGATATACAGGGTGTTCGGCCACCTCTAGCAAAAATTTTAATGAGCGATAGTAGAGGCCAAAATAAGACGAAAATCAAGAATACTAATTTGTTGATGGAAGCTTCGTTAAAAAGTTATTAACAATTAAATTCAAAAATTTCAAATCGTTCTGGAAAAATTATTTTCGGTTGCGGGGGTCAACTACAATCATTTTTGGTGAGTACTCATACCTCCGAAATCCTATCTACTTTCGAGAAAAAAAATCGAGTAGATGCTGAAATTTTTCGGCGAAAAAAAATTTTTCAAATCGTTTAAAAAAAATTATTTTCGGTTGCGGGGATCAATTACAATCATTTTTTATCATTACACATACCTCCGAAATCGTACGCACTTTCGAGAAAAAAATTCCTTACTGAAAATCCAATTAGGTGCCTAAATTTTTCAACGGAGAAAAAAAATTGCAAATCGTTGTGGAAAAATTATTTTCGGTTGCGGGGGTCAATTACAATCAGTTTTTGTCATTAGACATACCCACGAAATCCTGCCCACTTTCGAGAAAAAAAATAGAGAAGGTGTGAAATTATTCGAGGAAATTAAAAAATTGCAAATCGTTGTGGAAAAATTATTTTCGGTTGTAGGGTTCAATTACAGTCATTTTTGGTGAATAGACATACCCCCGAAATCTTGCGCATTTTCGAGAAAAAAATTCAGTAAGAGCAGCACTTTAAACGTTAATAACTTTTTAACGAAGCTTCCACCAACAAATTAGTATTCTTGATTTTCGTCTTATTTTGGCCTCTACTATCGCTCATTAAAATTTTTGCTAGAGGTGGCCGAACACCCTGTATAAGTTTGGGTCTTTTTAGACCCAAGTCTTTCTCAAGCAAGAGTCAGTCCATTTCGTATTAATTAATTCAGTTTCAGGCTCTAATTCTAGTTTGTTAATATACTGAAAATGTAAACATTTCTGATAGAAATTGTATTTATTAATTTATTTATGGTTTGATTGACACAAATAAAATAATACTAATTCTCCTTTTAATTATAAGAAGTGCTGATAGAAACTGTGGAGCAGTGAAATCTGAGATATACAAGTTTGGGTCTTTTTAGACCCAAGTCTTTCTGAAGCAAGAGGTAATCCATTTCGCTTTAATTAATTAGATTACCGAGTCTATTCAGCTCAATACTTTCTCTATTGCAATATTTATGTATTCAACCTTCCAACGTGCAACGATATCGAACGCTTGTTCAAAATGCATCCAGTCACGAAGCGTACATAAAACATTAACCGAAGGTAAAAATTGGTGAAAAAGAGGGAGAAATAAAATGCGTTCATGCGTACACACAACCGATAGCTACCTTCCAGCATTTTTCACCCCATGAAAATTTTATTCGGCGCTCATCGAGAAAACATGCGAGACGCTTTCGTTGTGTCCAGTTCCTTTCGAGGCATTTCGCTAATTACCTTACGCAATAAAAAGAAGCCGACAGACGGTTGTACCTAAACAGAATTAATTGGCAATGCGAGCCGCGTGACCAAAAAACCGCGCGAACTTCGGCGAGGAAAGTTCCCTCGATGATATTCGAAAGGCACGATGAGAAAAAAGGATTCGTTCCGCGGAAACGGACCGGAGAAAGTGCATCGCGAGGAAGACTATGTTTCCTCGGAATCGCTTAAAAATAGAACGTTCCGCGAGCCGGATCGGAAATATTTCAGAGGCGATTTTCCAAGTGTCCGCGATGGAACCGTGTTACGATCAGCCTCCCCTCGATCGACTCGGAAGCCACGCGGAAAGTGAAATTTTAAAAGGAGAGCCACGTTCGAACGATCGATACGACGGGGGTCAAACGAAATCCCGCGTTCGATCTTTGTCCGACCAGATTGAGAAGTAAAAGTAACGAGGCTGAGTCATGATACGTGGAAACGTGAAAATAGAAGAGACGAAGGTAATGGCGCGGGACCGAGAGGAACGTTAATTATGATAATTGGAAAAATGAAACGTTATTGGCGGCCGTAGCTCGTGCTCCTAGAGGAACATTAGTGGCTCATGACAGATCTAGGTGGAATTTGTTTGATGACTAGGTTGAATAATCCGTCGGGAACGAGATACAGTGATTGAACGTTGGGAATTATTTCAGCGTTTCCTGATAGGCGAAGATTTCTTTCATTTTTTTTTAAAGTCTGCGAATTTTTTAATTTTATTTTCGACGACTTTTGTCGTTTAGGTTTGTGCTTTAAACAGTGCAAGAGCAAATGTGGGAAATAAAACATAGGAGAGAAAGCTTCTTATAATATGAAAATATTGTTATATTGTTATATTGTAGGCGTAAAAACTGCAGGTTTTCAATTGTGATTTTTTTAAGCAAGAACTACGTAACATATTACGTATTGTTATTTACGTAATAACGGTTTTCTTTTCAGAAATTAAATAATCGAAACTATCTAATGCATAGAAAGTATGTGTTATTTTACTTTATAAAAAGAATCCACTACCGTTTTGTTTCCAAGAATTCGTTTTATACAATAGCCTCATAACGAACAGTTTCACCGTAAAAAGAATATACTATGTTTTTATTGTATTTATAATTATTAACGACTCTAAATCTCATAAAAGTGAATGTGTAATTAACGTTTATAGATTTTAAATAGAATAGTAAAATTCGTTACTAGGAACAGCGAACGTAAAGTAACAAAATATCCAAAACCATTGTAAAAAATATGTTGTATTATATCACGAAAGATATTCGCAAAAAATATATGTTAAAGTCGAGAACAGAATGTACTAATAGAATAATTACGATTAACGACGTGACGTCATATCGGCGATGTAGAAATTTCTTACCAATTGTAGCGCGAAACTGCAACAAGGGTTTTACAACATTTCCTACAATCCGATTTAATTGCGCTCGCATTATGAAACATACTGAAAATCCTAATATTAATGGCCTGTTTCGATTTTAATATAAAATTTCGTTTGCAAACTTTACTTTCAGATCTCTCGTATTCTGGAGGAATAACGCTCGTGAAATCTTTAGGTTTGCATAAATGTAAAAATATACTCAAATATCTGTACAAGCGTGAAAACCATAACCGAATAATTTATAAACGTACAGAGGAATAATTCTATCTACGAGGGAACTCTGGCGCTTTCACAACCAGCCTCTCCCCAGCCCCTGCTGACTCCTGCTGGCCTCTGCTGACCACCATTTATATTTCGGACAACGTATAACAATTACTACTCACTTCTGCCAGCCTCTCCCAGCCTCTGCTGACCACCGCTTATACTTTTGGCAACGTACAACGATTACTACTGGTTACTGCCAGCCTCTCCCAACCTCAGCTGGCTCCTGCTGACCTCTGCTGACCACCGCTTATATTCCTGACAACATATAACAATTACGACTAACTTCTGCCAGCCTCTCCCAGACTCTGCTGTCTTCTGCTGTCTTCTTCTGGCCTCTGATGGCCACCGCTTTTATTTTTGGCAACGTACAACGATTACTACTGGTTACTGCCAGCTTCTCTCAACCTCAGCTGGCTTCTGCTGGTCTCTGCTGACCACCGCTTATATTCCTGACAACGTATAACGATTACGACTGACTTCTGCCGGCCTCTCCCAGACTCAGCTGTCTTCTGCTGTCTTCTTCTGGCCTCTGATGGCCACCGCTTATATTTTTGGCAACATACAACGATTACTACTGATTACTACCAGCCTCTCCCAACCTCTGCTGGCTCCTGCTGGTCTCTGCTGACCACCGCTTATATTCCTGACAACGTATAACGATTACGACTAGCTACCGCCAGCTTTTCCCAGCCTCTGCTGGCTTCTGCCAACCTCCTCTGTCCTCTGCTGACCACTGCTAGTCTCTACATCCCCCTACTGGTGGCTAACTTGGGTTAACAGGTAATGCCATAAAACTGTTTTACCTAGTTATACCCCTTGTTACCTGAAGTCTAAGGTAAAAAGTACGAGGTACAAGGTACGACTACATGTACATTTGAATTTTCCTACAGGCCTCCGCTGGCCTCTGCTAACCGCTGCTGACCACACCTGATACTTCTGACAACGTATAACGATAACGACTGGCTACTGCTAGCCTCTCCCAGCCTCTGCTGGCCTCTGCTGACCATAGCTTATATTTCTGACAACGTATGACGATTACTACTGACTTCTGCCAGCCTCCGCTGGCCACTGCTGACCGCTGCTGACCACGCCTTGTATTTCGTGCAACGTATAACGATTACGACTGGCTACTGCTAGCCTCTCCCAGCCTCTGCTAGCTTCTGCTGGCCTCTGCTAACCTCTGCCAGCATGTGCGGGCTTCTGCCTGCCTCTGCCGTCCCCTGCTGACCACTGCTGACCACTTCTGATACTTTTGACAACGTATAACGATTACTACGGGCTACTGCCAACGTCTCCCAGCCTCTACTGGCTTCTGCTGGCCTCTGCTGACCACCGCTTATATTTCTGACAACGTATAACGATTACTACTGACTTCTGCCAACCTCCGCTGGCCTCTGCTGACCGCTGCTGACGTTTCCTGGTATTTCTGACAACGTATAACGATTACGACTGGCTACTGCTTGCCGCTGCTTGTTGCTGCTTGCTACTGCTGGTCTCTGCTGTCCACCGCTAGCCTCCGCTGACCTCTGCTGATCACCCCTGATGCTTCTGATAACGTATAACGATTACTACTTGTTACTGCTTGTCCCTGCTGATTCCTGCATGCCTCTGCATCCCTCTGCTAGCCTCTGCTGGCCATGCCGACCACTGCTGACCACTGCTGACCAACGCTGACCTTTGTTGATAACTTCTGATATGATGTATATGTATTAAAGCCTTGTATAATGTAAATTTATGGCAATAAATGTTATAATTTCGAAGAATTCTTATGTGTTCACGTAATTTTTACCTTTCTTTACCTCTCCAAAGCATTCCCATAGTTATAAGATACGTGCCACCTCTTCCCATATCATGTCCTCCTAATAACAAAGTCTAAAATGAACCTAAAACTCTCTTACCTGCTGGCAAAATTAAAAATTAACTTTCAAATTTTTTTCTCTTAAAAATTTTTGCTCGAAATTTTCCCGGGTCCCGTTTAAATTTTTTTCAGTAACCGTTACTCTCATACCTGCTGGCAAAATCGAGAATTCATTTGTTTCGTCAAAAAATTTTTGCTCGAAAATTTCGCCGATTTCCCAATTCTGTTTTTAAAATTTTTTTTCTGTAACCGTCACTCTCGTATCTGTTGACAAAATCGAAGATTCATTTTTTTCGTCAAAAAATTTTTGCTCGAAAATTTCGCCGATTTCCCAATTCTGATTTGATCTTGACCTTGACCTTGAACTCAAGGCCACCGGATTTCCAAAGCGTCTGAAATTTTTCTAAAATTCGAATGGCCTTGAAGTCAAGGTCAATGTCAGGGCCAAGGCCAAATCAGAATAGGGAAGTCGACGAAATTTTCGAGCAAAAATTTTTTTACGAAAAAAATGAATTTTCGATTTTGCGAGCAGGTACGACAGTGACGGTTACAGAAAAAAAATTTTAAAAACAGAATTGGGAAATCGGCGAAATTTTCGAGCAAAAATTTTTTGACGAAAAAAATGAATTCTCGATTTTGCCAGCAGGTATGAGAGTGACGGTTACAGAAAAAAAATTTAAAAGTTAATTTTTTATTTTTGCAGCAAGTACGAGAGCTGACGGTTACTGAATAAATTTTGCTCGAAAATTTCGCCGTTTTGCCAATTCAGATGTGGCCTTACCTTGACCTTGACCTTGACTTCAAGGCCATTCGAATTTTAAAAAAATTCTGGAGACTGGGAATCCAATTTTAACCGGAAAAACGGTCTCTTAAAACTAAGGCAATGATTTGGAGAGGAAAAGAAAGGTAAAAATGATGAAAACACATAGAATTCTTTGAAATTATTTCATTTATTGCCATAGATTTACATTATACAAAGTTTTAATACATATACATCATATCAGAAGTTGTCAACAAAGATCAGCAGTGGTCAGCAGTGGTCAGCAGGGGTCAGCAAGGGCCAGCAGGGGCAGGTGGTAACAAGTAGTAATCGTTATACGTTGTCGGAAGTATCAGGAGTGGTTAGAAGTGGTCAGCAGGGGCCAGCAAAGAGCAGCAGAGGCAGGCAGAGGCTCGCACATGCTGGGAGAGATCTGCAGAGGCCAGCAGAAGCCAGCAGAGGCTGGGAGAGGCTGGCAGTAGCCAGTAGTAATGGTTATACGTTGCCAGATATATCAGAAGTGATAACTGAAATAATGTACATATGTACGCTCATACATAGGAATAATAAAAAAAATTTCTTTTTTTTCAATAATTAAAATATGATCGGGGTGTTTTGAAACGTGTATTTCTGTAAACAAAATTTCACAAAATTTTGTTTTCATTATGGGTACTTTGCGTCTACATACATAGGTCGGAAAGTAAAAATGCCTGGGCAGTCGAGAATCTCAACTCGAGATTCCAAATCGTATGCCGTTGACGGAAGGTCGGATTTCAGTTGTTCAAGAGCGAGAAAACAAATGTAAGCCTTTCTCTCTCGACTCCCACGAGGCGGTTCGAAGTTACATCGGGTAGCTTCGGAGAATCGAGAAAGAGGGCATGTGTCAGTTTTCCTTTGTCGACTCTCCAAAACTCAAAGAGCTCACGTTGCGTGATCTGGCATAATGTAAAAAAGTGGATTGAGGTGTCTCTGGTGCACCCTGGGCTCCGTCTGGTATCTTTGGCTCTGACACGAAGCGACAAAATCACGAATCTATTTGTGCATGAATCATGTGCATCGAGGGATAATTCAGAAGTTGGTAAGCAAGAGATCTGATGCACTTGAATCTGCATTACCTGCAGTCGCAAACTAAGGTCCACCGCCTCGCCTGTCACAGTGTCGAAAAGCTGAAGTTGACAGTGTCTTATAACGACATGAATAGAGACTATTTTTCGACAACCTAGATTCAGAATTTTGTATATGTAATAATTAGCATTTGTTAAATTTAAAATCTGCCATATTCGATCTTGTAAGTCACTATTGCAATTATACATATACCGATACAATATCTTGTATCAAGATAATATTAAACATATTTCATATTTTTTCTGTGACCCCAATGAATTTTAAAACACACAGTTTCAGATACTCCAAATATACAATCCAATGAGTGGAAAAAGTTACACGATACAAAGGATGTTTCATCAAGAGATTGTTAAAACCGGGAACTAGAAAAATGGTGGAATCCAGGTTCCATTGATTTAATTATTCCTTCTTTTTTTAACGTACTTCTGGCATTCCATATTTATATTATCGTTTAGCATAAATTGTAGAATTCATACGTAATAAGAGGACTACTATCTAAGATATGTGATTTTGAAAAAAGAATTTATTTCTTTTATTCGTTACTAAAGATTGTTATCCAGAAAATACTTCTGAACATCTCAGTTTGGTATAAAATTCATTTGTATCAGTCTTACGACTACAATGCGACACAGTAGCGAAGAAACTGGTCAGAGTAATGGCGATACAAGTTGCTGGCAGGAAAGCTGAATGGCAGTCGAAAGGCGTGGTAGAAGATCAGAGTGCAATCTGCATTATTCTGCAGCATGGGCGCGCGAGCGACCATCAAGGCCTCTTCAGGTCAACGTGATCCAATCCGCCGTATAAAACGCCCCTCTCGACGATCCTTCGAGCACTGTTGTACTTCTCGTCGCCCCGTTGTCGTCATTTCTCTATTATGAGTGCCATATTCGTAAGTACTCTCGTTCAATTTTACTCGAAACACGTCACAATGCACCGCTCTATCCGATGATCGATTACACCTTCGTTGCATCTGTTTTACAAATTTTTTGGCGCTCTCTTAATTCGGTAAAATCCACAAAATTGTAATGTTTTTATCGTAAACTTTAGCTAGATAATTGTTTCATATTTTGCCACTATTTTATTATAACTTTTAGATCAATTAAAATTTGTGGTTATCTCTTGGTAATAATTTTTAAAGAAATCAATAAAATTATAAACCTGCTTGTTCAAGACTGAAGTTTTTTAGTTATTTTCTACCTTGTATCAGTGTAAATTTGTATATCATTTTGTGACACTTATTGTTATAGTTTAAAATCATTTGCATGACACGGAGGGTTCTCGAAAGTTTTCGAAAATTTTCTCGAAATCCCCAGGCGTTCCTGTTATGCACGATCGCGCTGGTTTCGTGTCGATCGTCGAATGGCCAATACCAATCGCCTCAACAGGCAGCGATTTTGAGCGACGCGAGATACCTAGCTGGAGACGGGACTTTTGGTGCCGCTTATTCGCAAGAGGATGGCGTCGAGTTCAAAGAGGAAAGCGACGTCTACGGAAACCGTCGTGGGTCTTACTCCTACGTCGACCCGACTGGACAAAGGCGTACTGTGTCGTACACAGCTGGAAAAGACGGTTTCCAGGTATGTCGGAATACACTTTAACAAACTCCATTTATTTCTTTCTCTAATCCAAGACGGAACAAATTAAAATTCCTCTTTTCGATCGAGAAATTCTCAAATAAAAAAGTAAGGTGAATCATCCTTCCAGTATATTGCTATCTACATTTTATTAATAATTACTATAAGGAAGTTTACATTGTGTGTTCGATTTGTTTAAGTGCTTTTAGCATATATTCTTTTGTCTAAAAAAAATCCCAGAAGCTGGTCCTCAACATTAATTTTCTTTGTATAATAACTGAAGACTCCCTAAAAATTGAAGAAGAAAAGTACGAGTCATTTTACGTGTTTACGTTTGAAAAAATTAAATTACGACTTCCTATACTGTAAAATTATTTTCTAAAAATTCAGACAGTTTTGGATATTTCGAGTGGAAAGCATTTTATTTAAATCTACAGGCGTCCGGGGACGGTATTCCCGTTCCACCCCCGCAAGTTGCACCCCAGCCGGAGTACGTGCCATTGCCACAGTACAATCCACCGGACTATCAACCACCTAGATACAATCCACCCCCGCAACAACAGTATCAACGACCAAATCCACCGGTGTACGAGCCTCAACCACAACCACAGCCACAGCCACAGCCTCAACCTTCGTATGAACCTGAGCCACAATATCAATATAGGCCACAGCCTCCACCACCCGAAGCCCAACCATTTCCCTCGTACAACAACAATCCTAGGCCACAGTATCAACCCCCAACCAGACCACTGCCGCAATACAACGCCATCACGACGCCACCCCCGCGCAGATTTTATCCACCTGGAAAACTGAGCTTCAACAGGACCCCCGATGGCTACTCCTACACGTTCAGTAAGAGTTAAGTTTCCTTCAGCGTGGCGTGGAACGGCGATCGGAGCGGGGAAATATAGGTGAAAGACAATTTTGTAAAAAGGAATCGCGGAAATATAGTTACACCATAAAAAGAATCAATTTGGAATACCTCTGGACGATGGCTATGGAATCGAGCATACTGCAAGTATTTTATTTATTTTCTATTCACTGAACATTCAGAAGGGATACAAAAATAAGTAAAATATAGTGAACCTTCGTTGTAACGAGCACCAGGATTTATTTTAAATATTGTAAAATTTAATTAGTAATATTTGATAAGCAAAATGATTCCAAGTTGATTTTTTCTTCAGTTTGACCGCATATTTAAATATAAAATTTGTGTGTTATCAAAAGCTTCGAGCTTTAGATTGATTCCTTAAGAATGTATTGTTTTCTGAACGATACAATATTACTAATTCGTAAATTTTTGTTTGAAACAGACAAATCGTATTTTTTTTCTAATCTACGTTCTTAAATTTTTTACAAAATTTAGAATAACTTTCATTGTCAACCATTGTACACAGAATGTAAATTTGATTTCCTCGTACAAATACTTTTGTAAGAAACGATAAATGATTTGATAGCTAAAGTAGTTATTAATAATCATTCTTACTTAATTTATCAGTTCATTATCGATGTAATATTGCATAAACTATAGTTTACGTGTTGCATCAAATAATTCAAAACCTGTGAAAAAAATTGTATCAAAATGTTTAGTTTCATAGAGTCAATTCGTATTACTGGGTTACTTATAGTACTATCGAGACTAAAACTCGTAAAAGCTATTAAATTATTGTAACACTATACATATAGTAATAATTGTTAATCTAGTAAGGTTTAGTTTCCAAGTTCGTTCCAAGTCGATTAAATAAAAAGTATCATAGGTCATTGTCAAAGATTAAAAAAATTTTCAAAATATCTGACAGTCATGAGTTATACGCGCGGAAATTATCGGACGCTGATTTACATTCGCGATCATGCATTCATAATTAGGTGATTGTAGGTAACCAGAGCCTTGTCCATGATCTTACTACAAGGCTTAAACAAGTTACTTCCTGAAAAAGACTGCATAAGCTTTGCATAAATTCCCAAGGAAATGTAACGAATAAATTAATTCGTTTAACTTGCTAATTACAGACAATTCCTTTATTCGTTTGTACTTTCACTAATTACGTTCATCGTTATCGCGCAAATACTCGCGTTATGTACGATGTAAAGCTTTGTCGATTTATAGCAATCGAATTATCGATATAGATCTCCATTTTTATTAATGTAAGATAAATTTAGTGATGGATGTGATCCGAAATGGTTGAAACTTTTGGAAGTTTTAAGTGTCTTTAGACAGCACAGACTATAGCAAGAACTCGTTAATTGCGTGTGGGACAGATTCGTTAGTTGCACGTAAATTATCTGCTTCTTAAAATTTTTCGATTTTTATTTTACCTCCATGAAACGGGGTTTTTATTAAACCAACAAGACTATTTTGATAATATTATTCTGAAATTCTAGATTATTGTCTATAGATCTTTTTTAAAAATTACACTAGCCAACTTATAGTGTCTATAATTTTTATATAACTCTCCCAATATTATTACCTATTTGTTCATTATGCAATGGTTACGTGCTCAGGTAGCCGAGAAATTTTTTCTTTTACTATGATTCTCTGTCACTCTCGTTCCTGCCGGATCCAGAGCGAACTGAGCTCTAGAAATCCTTGGAAAAGTGACTTGCTACACATTCGTTAGTCGCGCGTCGCCACACGCAATTATCGAGTTCTCAGTGTACATTATTAAATGCACTTGTATGATTACTATATTATCACTGTATAACTGTATTATATATCTATCGAACTTTTCAGAAAAGAGACCATCTTTGGAGCCTGAAATGTCAATTCCATTGTATTACCTCTGAACCATAAATATACATTGTAAGACGCAAAACTAAAACTGAAAATAAAATTCTTTCCACGATAGAGTCACAAGCGACGATAGAGAAATTGTTTGGCATTTCCTGAACGTCGATCGATCAGATTTTCTTCGTCGCGTTGCATGGTCGACGCCCTGTGCTTTGCATAGCAATTTCCTTTCCAAATGCGAGCACTATCCCGCGCATTGCGGGGTCATGTTACTTTCAACGAGAAACCTTTGGCGTTCCCCGAAGTATTGCAACAAACCCATGAGAATCTCGCGACTTATGAGAGAGGATACACGATTCTTTAACCTGGAATAATAACTTACGTTCAAATGTCGTACGCATAAGTTACGTAGCCGCTCGAGAAATTATTAATTATGCTATTCTCTACTTCTGTAATACGATTACACGGAATATTCAAAGAGTTTGAACTACACCGGAAGGAGTTACAATAGCATTTTTCCTACGGAAAAATACCCAATATAGATCACATTCTCATCATTATTACTGTTGTTGTAATATTCTCATTACTAAATGTAGAACAGTCAACGTGTTAACACTTTGATGATTTACTGTCTGTCGACTAAAAATTTTGTTTACACAGTTCTGTTATTGAATGAACATACAAATATCAATTTTATTAATTTGCATAGGTAGTAGGTATTAATTTGATACGAACAGTTTGAGATAGCTTTCTATATTCCTAGCATTCGTTTGGTCTACAATGTTAATATAGAAAGCTATCTCAAACTGTTCGTATCAAATCAATACCAACAACCTATGAAAATTAATAAAATTGATATTTCTATGTTCATCTCTAACCCTTTGACGATCATTTAGCCAACTTATTGTGTTTGTTCATTCCTTATAAGAATTTAATTTGATAAGAACAGTTTGAGATAGCTTTCTATATTCCTAGCATTCCTTTGGTCTACAATGTCAATATAGAAAGCTATCTCAAACTGTTCATATCAAATCAATACCAACAACCTATGTAAATTAATAAAATTGATATTTGTATGTTTATGAGATATGTTATGACATGTATAGAAAGCTATCTCAAACTGTTCGAATCAAATTAAACTCTCATAAGGAATGAACGAACGTAGTAAGTTGGCCAGATCGTCAAAGTGTTGCAGTACAGGTGATCCTGTTCGAGTTCCACCGCGTCCAGGGGGATCGTTTCCGCGCCAAAACGGAAGTAAAGCACCGGACAAAGGGACGATTATCTCATTAGCCTGACTCGCGAATAATACCGGTGCAACGTAACGAAAAAATGCAGTTCGACACAGCATCCGTTTACCGGTAGCCGTAACACGGGCGCGGCAAGGCAATCCGGCCGTATCGGAGCAGGAACTCGATAACCTTAGAGGTGGGCCGAAAGAAATGCATACCGTAACGTTTCACGTCAGCGTTGGTGTCGTTTAAGAAAGTCGATCGAGGATTTAATTTATGGCCAAACGGGTGCAGCTCGCCACCGGACGCGACACGGTTGCAACGACTGCATACTTGTCGAGCCCGCTATCCCTGATCCGTGTTACGTATATTTACGAGAATATATATAGGGAAATACTTATTTTCGAATTCGACTGTACGTGTGGATTTTATGGACCTTGTTCTTATTCGTTTGTGCAGGATACCGTGTCAACCAGGTGGATTAAATAACTATAATCGTTGAGACTGTGATACATTAATTGGAATATTCAGCTATGTAGACTAAGGAATATGAATGGGAGAAATATTCATTTTCGAATTCGACTGTACATGTGGATTTTATGGATCTTGTTTTTATTCGTTTGTGCAAGATATCGTGCCAACCTCATGGACGTTAAATAACTGTAATCGTTGAGATTTTGATACATTAATCGGAATATTCAACTATCTAGAGTGAGGAATACGAATGGGGGAAATACTCATTTTCGAATTCGACTATATGTGTGGATTCTATAGATCTTGTTTTTATTCGTTTGTGCCAAGTATCGTGTCAACCTCGTGGACGTTAAATAACTGTAATCGTTGAGAGACTTTGATACATTATTCGATATATTCAGCTATAGACAGTGAGGAATATGAATTGGAGAAATATTCATTTTCGAATTCGACTGTACGTGTGGATTTTATAGATCTTGTTATTATTCATTCATGCAAGATATCGTGTCAATCCCGTGGACGTTAAATAACTATAATCGTTGACAGACATTGATACATTATCCGAAATACTCAGCTATAGACAATGAGGAATATGAATTGGGGAAATATTCATTTTCGAATTCGACTGTATGTGTGGATTTTATGGATCTTGTTTTTATTCGTTTGTGCAAGATATTGTGTCAACCAGGTGGATTAAATAACTATAATCGTTGAGAGACTTTCATACATTAATCGGAATACTGAGCTATAGACAATGAGGAATATAATTTGGGGAATTACTTATTTTCGAATTCGACTGTACGTGTGGATTTTATGGATCTTGTTTTTATACGTTTGTGCAAGATATCGTGTCAACCTCGTGGACGTTAAATAACTGTAATCATTGAGAGGCTTTGATACATTATTCGGAATATGAATGGTGGAAATATTCATTTTCGAATTCGACTGTACGAGTGGATTTTATAGATCTTGTTTTTATTCGTTTGTGCAGGATACCGTGTCAACCAAGTGGATTAAATAACTATAATCGTTGAGAGACTTTGATACATTATTCGGAATATGAATGGGGGAAATATTCATTTTCGAATTCGACTGTACGAGTGGATTTTATAGATCTTGTTTTTATTCGTTTGTGCAGGATACCGTGTCAACCAAGTGGATTAAATAACTATAATCGTTGAGAGACTTTGATACATTATTCGGAATATGAATGGGGGAAATATTTATTTTCGAATTCGACTGTACATGTGGATTTTATGGATCTTGTTTTTATTCATTTGTGCAAGATATCGTGTCAACCTTGTAGACGTTAAATAACTCCACTTATTGAGAAGAACATATCAACTGATCAAACGTACCTTGTAAAGTATTATCTATCTTCGTAAAGAATTATTAGAACAATAATCGTAAGTAATAAACTGATTTAACAGTCACAAGAGTAGTCCAAGTATTTGGAATTCAAGCCAGATCAAAATTCAAATAGATTGAGTATTTGAATAAATTAAGCTCGTAAGAATTAAATCTGCTCGGATGTTGGAACAGTTTGTATTGAAATTACAGGCCAAAAGTATTTATAAAATGAAATGTAGCCTGAATAACATACAAAATATGTCTCATTGCTAGCATCACTATGTTTAGATAGCAATATTCTCATGGGTCTCGAGTCCAAGACAAAAATGGCTACCTGGGGATCCAAAGACCTGAAAATTGTTTTACTTTTTGAGTCGTGTTTTATTTATAAAGGTATATGGGTATACATTTCGTTTCATGATTATGGCAGTAATATACAGACTCTGAGTAGCTGCACGTGACATCAACAGTATAAAAGTAGTCTAAACAGCTGCTATTAGAGGCAGTGGCATCGACCATTCACTCCTCACAACAAAAACGACATAAAAAAGAAAAAAAAATAAGAGAAAAACAAAAATCTCGTCTTGCCTATAATCTAACTTATTATAGTGAAACATTTTTTATGCCGATGTGCCTCCCTAACACGTTCAATTTTAAATGATCAAAGCGAAGTCAGATAAGTCCCGGAGAAAAGGCACTATACGTCTATTAAATACATGTAGTATTCGACTATCGATCGTACAAAGTACTACAATATAAATCATTACGCTTCGTACGACGATATCTCGTTTCGTACAAAATTCTCTTCGAAAGGAGAAAGAAAATTTTCAGACCGTATCAGACCTTCGAAGGCCAATTCCAGTTAAAAAATCGAAGTCCCGCCGATAGCAGACGCAATCCGTTGACTTTAACGCGCCACTTAGTTCCTGGTATTCCTTGTTGAACGAAAAGGTAGTTTAGCTCAGCTTGAAAGTAATTTTAATTGCACCTCCGTGTTTGATAGAATTTAATTGCACCTTCGCGTTAACTAACGTCAATTCATTACCAGTCCCGACATTAAAAAGTGAAAATCTACGTATACCGAGGGTACGTAATCGCTGACATAACCACGAAAAAATACAATTCCTTATAAAAACAAAACAATATAAGTCGAAAGTGCGAAACGTGTAATATTTTCTGTGAAGTTTCGTTCTCGAGAACATCGAGTTTCACAATTCGTGAAAGTATTTATAAATATTGTAACATATCTTCTTCTCTATTTGCACGTGTAATGCAAAAATAGTACAATAATAAAATCGAAGGATACTTGGTATTATTTTTAACCAAAGTAATTCTTGAAAACAAATTAAAAATAATCAGTACATCGAAACGATCGGTCAACGAATGTTCACACTTGATTTTCTCAAAGATAAAGTTGCGTGGAGAAAGCTTACATTCCACGACTTTTGATCGTTATTTCGCAAATAATCGTCGTTTCGTCGGTTATAGTGTGAAATACCTCCCACATCCTATGTAAAGCCATTGAACTGCGTATCAAAATTCGCGTGACGAAGGAAACAAGTGTTCTGTCTAGAGCAGACCCCGAGGCGCGAGTCTTCTGCCCAGCGTTTCGTTATTCTAAATACAACTACTTACGTGAAAAAGATTTCTTTTCGTAACTGTATAAGAAAGGCCGGCATTTTTATCTTTTTCTTCTATTCATTTTTTTTTCTCCTTTTTTCTTTACATCAGACTACTTAGGTCGCTACGAACGATAACTATTCTTATGCATCCTCGTCGCGCGAACACCCGAACATATTTTCTCCCACAAGATTACTCCCCAAAGATTCCTCCTTTATTTTAAAATTTCTTTTCCTTTTGCTCCATATTTTCCCCCCTTTGCAACAATCGCAACTATTGTCGATTAATTCTATATTGCACTAGTTATAATTATACAAAATATATACCTAACGGTAGGCTTAGCTTTTGAAGTATACCCTTTTAGGCACAGTTATTCCGGAAATAGTTTGGATCAAACAGAAGCCGGAAGTGGGTGGTACGTGAGGCAGGAGGCACGGCAGTTTTTGCGACACGATCTCGCGCTGACTATCTATAGTTCTATTCTAAAGACGAAAGGAAGTAAGCGCCATAAAAGCGAACTCTATGAAGATACTGGAAGAGACAGTTTGTTCACAATGCAGTCTCTCTTGCGGAACATTCGACAAACCAAGAATACCACTCGACGGTATTGCAGCTGGGCAATCATCGCGTTTAAAGTAAACGAGAAACGTACAATTATTATTGTCTTCTAAAGTTTGATTGACATTCGACAAAAATTAACGAGACTCGTTCTTCGTTACGAATCGTTATTACCGATCAAATTTACGATAGAAAAAGTGTGTGAAGAAACAAATATTACTTGCATTTGTATGTACGCAGACGTTTCGTAGCAGTTTTTTCTTCATTACGAACGACAAGATGGACTTTTGTCGTGTACGAGTCTTACCCATAATATAAGTATAATGGGCGAAGCAGAAACTTTGTTTATTCAAGTATTATTCATTTTTAAATATAATAACAATAACAATAAGAAGGGTTGTATTATGGAAGAATTAATATTTGTTAAGTAAAGATATAGAGATCTCCATTCATCTTTTTCTTCTTCAACGATCTATACAAGGTCATTGAAGGTCACGGCAGGTTATAGATGGTAAATGCCTAATATTTTAAATATAAGACTGCAAACATTGACCAGTATTAATGGTCACTATTTCGAGCATGCATTATAACCTAAAAATCCGCCATAATCGAATGGGAACTTGAACGACCTTGTATTCCAAACGAATAAAGTTTCTACCTCTCCCTGTATACTCAGATAACTTGTATGAGGATAAACGTAACACCGAATGAAATTCCCCGAGTATTGTAAGAAAAATAAAAAAAAGCAACTTCTCGTTTGAAAATCGATCAATAATATAAACATCCTGGGATGATTGCATCGGTAATATTGTCAACACTTATGCTATACCACAGCAAGAACTACGTTTGGTATTATAAATTGATAATGTGGCTAATAACACGTTTCCTCTGAAGAATCATCGAGCTTCGCTTAAAAAAAAAAAAAGAATCACATGATCGAAATAGACTCTTAACATTAATATGCTTTATATGTAGCCGTATAATCGTCCAATAAATGGTTTTTAACGATAGAAAATATTCGTATACTTCTATTTTAAACGAACTCCTTATCCGAATAGCGTTTTATCAACTAGTTTTACGTAACGCGTTTCAATATTGAATGATGCCGATACGGTATCATTTTTTTTTTTTAGAAACTATTGCTTCGAAACAGTGAATTCTCTAGATCGTGGAACGTACGTATAAAAAAATATAATAGCATTGAGAACAAACTTGTACATCGAATAGCGGATACTGCTAATGGTTAAAGATGGCGGGAAGCTAGCTATGTAGGAACGTATACTATTAAGTAGTTGCATTTAAATACCGACGCAATAGTGGAATCTCTTACCATAAATCAGTATCGCGTCAATACCTAAACAGTTCACGAATAACGTATGCCTTAATTCATATACATACATACGGGACACACAGTAGTACTTCTACGATTATTCCGAGATTCTTATTTTCCTGATATGTTGCGTAATGCGAAAAATATCGTTCTCTGTGATTCGTTACCGAAGGCGGTGCACTTTGTGTTAACGGACGTTAAAAGTATACGACGGTTTCTCGAAGCTGCAACGAATGTGTTTCCCGTAACGTAAAATAAAACGACTTACCTCTCTGCGACGATCGTTGTGCACGAACATACTACTGTGCATCTCTTATTAATAAATCAGTACATATTCATTACAATCACAATATGCATGACAATCCTATGCAAAAAGTCCTGGTCGAAATGGAGTGGAGAACTTGTACTATGGTAAGACACGAATCGATGGTACGTATTGACAGGAAGGATAATTCTAGCTGCATAATCCCGACGGATCGACGAGACCGCGTGCAATGAGTTCCGCCGTCGCCGGGTCGCCAGCCTGTTTGACACTAGAGTGCTGGGGCGGCGTTTGTTGCACGTGGGGTTCGAAATGCGAGCGCACGTGGAACATGAATTCGGCCTTGTCCGTAAAATCTGTACGGCACATCAGACAGAAATGCCTCTCGGACGCGTACGGTTGCGGTGGCGCCGTCGACGCTGGGAAATAAGGAGCAGCGTGTTGTGGCGGGGCCGACGCCTCCAAATGAGACCTGCAACGGAACGTGTTCGATCGTTCAATCGCCCGATCGACCAAAATCATCGTTATTACAAACTTACCGAGCATGTTGCATCCATTCTTCTCTCGTGGCCAATGCTCGACCGCACAACTCGCACGCCCAACTGACCGGTTCCTCTTTCAGCTTGTGTATAGTGTCTTGTCGAGTTTGCTGCTGCTGCTGCTGAGCCTGTTGCTGCTGCTGCTGTTGAGCTTGCTGTTGCTGCTGCTGCTGCTGTTGAGCCTGCTGTTGCTGCTGCTGCTGCTGCTCCGAATTCGGGGCAGCGGGCGTAGACAGCGGCGCTACCCCCGGTCTGTGTCTAAGTTTGTTCATGTGAATAACTAGCTTATCTCTGCGCGCGAACGCTTTTCCTACAAACAACAGGCCGTCCGTAAAATTAATTAAACCCAAACAAGCAATACCCGCCGCCCGTGGACGCGATGCAACGAACTCGCTTACCGCAAACTTCGCAGGAATACGGTTTCTCCCCGGTATGGATACGCATGTGAATAACGAGTTTGTCCTTACGGGCAAGCCCTTTGCCGCATACGGTGCAGGCGAACGCCTTTATCGCCGGTTCGCCCGTATTGGTAGCCTTCGATGCAAATCCCGGACGAGACGGTACATTGTTCGTCGTTCTCAACGGTTGATTTATTGTCGGTGCTCTGCTGGCGAACTGCTGATCCATCGCACCGGGAAACGGAGGCATCACTCCGCCAGGACGCATCGCCGCTGAGTAATCCGGAGACCTATTTAAAGTTGAATCGATAGTACTATGGTTTCCCGTCGCCGGAACGTTTGGACAACCGTCGTAGGGCGTAAATATTAAATTACCCACCACGTTCCGAGGGAACGTAGCACGCGCACGCCGTCGTCGTAGCCGAGGCCATCGTCGGGCAAAGTAAACGTGGGATTAGGCGCTTGAGGTGTTGCAGGTGGGCCAGGACCTGCCAGCCTCGCTTGCGCCGCTTGTTGTGCCATGTGTTGCTGTACTGCGGCATGAGCCACCGCGTGCGCTTCCGCGTAAGCCGATCGCTGCTGCTGCTGCTGGCTACCATTAGACATCTTGTCCTTCTCCGTGCCCTATTAATCGTTTATTTGCTCTTACACTGTACCGTTTACCGACACGGCCCGCGCAGGATAAATCGCCACGCTTCGCGGGACATTATTAGAATCGCAAAGATCGACGTTTTCAACCCTGAAGTGGAATAGCCCTCCACAAGTTTAACACGTTCACTGCCAGACGAAAACCGTGCAATTTTCTGCAAGACTACAATTTTGATTTTAAATGATTGCAAACTGCATAACATAAAATTTGATTCGGTACTTATTTTTGTAAATTCTATCCAAATTTATTTCCCTCGATATTTGAACATGAGAATTTTTCTAGTTTCACAGTGGAAATTTTGTTGAATATGGATGACAGTCAACCTGGTAACCTAACATTGTATAATGTATGTAAATGTGATTATTTGAAAATTTATGTAATCCTCTGTTAGTTCATTGTGTTTTAAATGCTTTAAAGGAGAGTTGATTTCCATTTACCTAACCCAGACCTAATCCAAACCACAATTTTGATTCTAAATCATCGCAAACTGCATAACATAAAATTTGATTCGATACTTATTTTTGTAAATTTTATCCAACTTTATTTCCCTCGATATTTGAACATGAGAATTTTTCTAGTTTCACAGTGGAAAATCATGGGTGACGTGACAGTCAAAGTGTTAAACTAACATGGTATAATATATGTCAATGTAATTATTTGAAAATTTATGTAATCCACTGTTAGTTCATTGTGTTTTAAATGCTTTAAAAGAGAGTTGATTTCCATTTACCTAACCCAGACCTAATCCAAACTACAATTTTGATTCTAAATCATTGCAAACTGCATAACATAAAATTTGATTCGGTACTTGTTTTTGTAAATTCTATCCAAATTTATTTCCCTCGATATTTGAACATGAGAATTTTTCTAGTTTCATAGTGGAAAATCATGGGTGACGTGACAGTCAAAGTGTTAAACTAACATTATATAATATATGTCAACATAATTATTTGAAAATTTATGTAATCCTCCGTTAATTCATTATATTTTAAATGCTTTAGAGGAGAGTTTCTTTTACCAATTTAATAAAAATCAACATTAAGTAAAATAATTCAGTTGAGATCAAGAGTCCATTTAAGGGTTAATCGAGCAAATTTTGTTTTTGCTTCCAACAAAACTGATTCGATATATCACGTTCGTGGTTATAAGTTTCTTTTATCGCGTTTAACTATTTATTGGATCTTGTTAAAACTTCCATTCAACTTATTCGCGTTTTACAATTCTTCGGTAATTTTCTATTCTTTCTCCGTCGACATTTTCTTATTATTTTCGAGAGTACATTACAACCGACGAGGATCGTGCTCGATTCGTCGGTTCGAGATAAATTTTGTTTCAAAGCAGCAGATTCAAATAAAGCTACGCGTAACGCTACTACGCAACAGAGCGAACTCAAATTGCTTTGGAATATTGCAATCATCGTTTATCAGCGTTACCAAGCGATACAAGAGTCATGGTATGACTGATATCACCGGTTTTAAGAGAGCTGTCTGAAAATACCAGATTAAATGTCAATAAACTCGATGCATACGCGAGTGTAACAAAACAAAGAAAAACGAGTTCCCAGCCCGGCAAATACGTAACAGAGACCGAGAAGCAACAGATTTTCGTTGAAACTTGTAATTCTGCTGAACGCACGCTATCGCGAGGCACAATGCGTTAAAAATGATGCAATAGTCGGAGAGCCACGGTAACGATATTTATAAAATCCATAGTCACTACTAATGCGTGATTACGTCGATAGTAGCCTGTACCGAGAGACAATATTTCGCGTTATTTTTATCGCTAACGATGTCGCAACCGATATGGGAAAACGATTAATCATGGGAACAGTACCGTAGCGTGAGAGCGCGTTCGGTGCCAAATATCTGTTAACGATAATCGATATTCGGTAGGAACCGAGTTTCGAACATTCGATCCGGAAAAAACATATTCGACTCCCTCGAATCTGACGGGAGGATCTTTCGTTCGAGTATCGCGAAATTCATAGCTCGAACGACCAGAAGGAATCGAGTAAAACGCGATACGGTGCGTTCAACGTGCTTCGATCCGTTCGCTTGTATCCGAACAGCGCCGTAACATTACGCGTACAAGGATTCCGCGAGCAACAACGATTTTGTCCACGTGACGATTCGTCCTGGAAGCCAAGGTATCCCTGAACCGAGGATCCCGAACGACATCGAGCGCATAAAAGACCAAGGGGGGAGTTTCGAAGGAGCCGAAAAGATCTCTCCGACGCAGGCTGCTCCGTCAAGGTCCTCCGGGAAAGAACGATGACCGAAAAGAGAGAGAGAGAGAGGAAACGAACGGAAGGGCATAAAGGGCCGGTAGGAGGAGGGAGAGAGAGAAGGAGCTTAGCGTACAAAGCCAGACACGATCCGTTCTCTCCACAAAAGACGGTTAAACGTTATCGAGCAATCCCGGGGTGCTCACGTACCTACACTTTGTCCCGATGTCGGTGCAGAGAACCGGTGGGGGCGGGAGGTTCCTGATCCTGGTGTATATCACAAACGACGTCACAATCAATTCGACGTCACGTCACTTTGTCCTCGTTCCCATGGTGGTTCCCCGAACTGGGTGAAAAAATCGAAGAGCTACCCACGAGGGGCCGGTTCGACGAGTTCCCGTAGCACCACCGATCCGCGAGGAGACGAAGACGACGCCGGTGCGCTCGGCGTTCTTTCTTTTCGCGACGCCACGAAAGAATCTCGCGTTTTACGGGGCCGACCGTGTGTCCCGTGGAGCTAGCCGCCGATTCCCGGCGCGGGAGGATGTAAGGACAAAGAGACGAAAAAACGCCTGGTTGGGTACCGGGCGGTGGGGATGGCTAGAGAGAGAAAGGTAGACACGAGGAGAGAGGGCAGAGGGAAAGAGAGGAACAACGACGAAAGAAGGAGCTAGGTCTCGGGTAGAGAGAGAGGAAACGAGAGATCAGAGGGCAGAGCGAGAGAGAGATACCGAAACAGCCGGTGACACACGAACGCAGCGCGGCGTAACGATATCGAGTGGAGGTCCCCGCGGAATGCACCCGTGGCGGGCTTGGACCGAGGCGAGAGAGACTCGCAAGCTCCACGGACAGGACAAAAACGGGACGCGAGGAACACACGCTGCTGGCGTATCGGCGAATGTTATGGCCGGATCCGCGAAAATTGAACGACGTGGCGCGGGAACTGGGCACTGAACGACGGACACCGCGAACGGAAACACGGCGGAGGGAACAAGAAGAGCGTACTCTCGGGGAGTAGCGATACGCGGACGAGACAGCGCGGTGCAACGATATCGAATGGAGATCCCCGCGGAACGCATCGTGGCCGCCGCGACGGCCAGAGCGAGAAGGAGGAAAGGGAAGAGAGGGGTATACGCGAGAGGGGGGACGAGAGGGGGTGAGAGGCAGAGGGGGAACGAGGCAGGGACGCCCTAGAGAGGCGAGTATAAGCGCGAAGAGACCTTCGTGTATACCTAGCGTCGTGTATACAGCTACCGTGTGACTCGGCTGCCGGATACATACAATGACGGAAGAGAGCCGACCGTAGAAGCCAGCAGTCGACGACGACGACGACGGCGGCGGCGGTGGCGGCGCGGCGCTCTGCAGTGCGTCGGCCCGCTGACCTTGACACTGACATTGACTGAGCGAGCGAGAGAAACGAAGGCAGACGGCATCGTACGACCCGGGTACGGTGTATATGCGCGATTAGGCGAGACTAAACGCGGTGTCCCGCGCGAACCGACGCTCGTCCACGGGACACCGGCGACGTTTTGCTCTCCGTTCAGCGGTGGAATCGGAACGCGTCAACGATCGCGGAGCCCGGGTAACGAGACTTCGTCGATCGTTTACGGACGTTTCTTTCAGAGGGCAGAGAACAGGTTTTCGAGAGACGCGGGCCTGGGCCTCCTCGTTGCACCTGTGCCCGGGACAAGGAGATCCAAGGGGTCAACCGGGCGGGGAGGGGATCGAACGATCTTGGATTGGGGAGCGACGAGACGCGTGGGAGGGAGAGAGAGAAAAAGGGAGCAAACCGGGGGTACGGTTAAAGACGAAGGAACAGAGGAGCGAGACCGCGAGCTATCCCGAAGGAAAGGGAAAGAAAGAGGGGACTAGGCGAGACGTCGAAGAAAAGGAGAACTCTGACTTTCGCTTTCCGTGCGCGACGCAGCCTAGCCGCGGAGCGTCGATCAATAGTGCCGCGACGGTTGCACACACACACACACACATACACGCGCGCGCACACACAGATGCACATACGTCTGACGCGTATAGGTTCTCCGTCCTCCGTGCTTGCGCGATCCCCGTCTCTCTCTGGTGCCCTATCTGTTCATCCTGCACGGTTATCTGTATATTATCCCTTCCACGTCTCTTCACCGATGAGCCGCGTGTGTGAGGGTGGAATTATTGGGATCACGCTTCGTTGGATAACGTAGGGGTGAAGGGACAGAGAATCAAGGACCTCCGGCTACCGATCAGCGACGCCCCTCGTTTCGCTCCTTCTTCGTTGCTCTCTTTCACGCGCCTCTGGGTGCCTCTCGCGTTCTCCCCGACCCTCGTCCTCCGACGCTTATCGGGTACCGCGGAGCGCGCGGGATCAGCGCGAAGGGAAGGCGGAACGAAGACAGAGGTGGTACAACCCGGAGCGCGTGTCGCGTAAAGGGCTTTTTACGCCGCTCGAAATGTGGAACTCGTGTCGGCCACCCATTCGACGCATAAAGTCACTTTAACGCGTCGTGTCGGAAATTGCCGTGCGAGTTTATGAGCTTGTAAAGAGTACCCGAGTACTTCCTAGGATACGTACGAGGCGACCCGCGATAGCCTGGTTCCACGGGCCTATTCGTGTACGGGGCTTGTACGGCGATAAATTCCGACCCGCGACGCCTCGACCGTTGGGGGGTTTGAAAAAAATAAAGAACGGCCTCTACTCTCGCGTCCGTAACGCCGCGCGCTTTATGTCAGACTTTTAACGTACCTATATTAAGCGCGCTGTCGCCTTCATTTGTAAGGCACTTGCTCCCGGTCGTAAACCACGTGGTCGCGGACCTTAAGCGCGTCCGATGTCTCGTGAAATCAATTAGGAGCAAATAAACTGGTACCCCGTAAACAAGCGCGCCCCGCGGATTGCAACGTTCATTGCTACGTTTAGTGTTGCGAATATCTTAAGACCTATCGTTGGAAACGTATCTTTGATCCATAGCTTTCGATGCCACTAATGTCTCTATGTAAGTACAGTCAGAATCTTCAAGGTTATTTGAAGGTCAACTTTGTTTTTTTTTTGTTCTTGGATACTCACCTTATACATATAAACATACAGTAAAATCTCGACAAAATAGCTGGATAGTTATGCAATTATTGAGATAGCCAATTTAATAAGCAGTCCTTCGCTTAATACAGTACAAGTATCGAGGGTGCATCTATAAAGACACTACCGTGCATTGTAAACGATACTTGCAAATAATCATATACTGGGTGTTCGGGCACTCATGGAAAAAATTTTAATGGGAAATTCTAGGGGCCAAAATAAAACGAAAATCAAGAATATCAATTTCTTGACTAAAGCTTCGTTAAAAAGTTCAAATTTCAAATCGTTCTGGAAAAATTATTTTCTATTGCAGGGGTCAATTACAATCATTTTTGGTGAATAGACATACCCATGAAATCCTAACCATTTTCGAGAAAAAAATTCGAGTATGTGGTCAAATGTTTCGGGGAAATTGAAAAATTTCAAATCATTCCTCAAAATTATTTTTGGTTGCGGGGGTCAATTACTATCATTTTTGGTGAATACACATACCCCTGAAATCTTACCCACTTTCGAGAAAAAAAATTAATAATCTGAGTTGATGGTTCCCCGAAATTTCATGTGAATCTTTAAAACATCATAACTCCTGAACGGATTGGACGATTTTAATGTTTCAAACTGCAAACAACGCGTCTTTTGGTGAAGAATATGTGGGCATTCCACAAATATTCGAAAAGTTGCTCCTTCACGCCGAAAACTAACAAAAACCTCATAAAAATGGTCCAATATTTAAAGAGCCATAACTCCTACAATAGTGAATGTATTTCATTGAAATTTTTTTCTGATGTAAAGCTCATGGATACCTACAAAAAAGTATTAATCAACTTTTCCATGCAGCGTCAAACAAATTTATTAAAAATAAAATACGAATTTTTAAGAAAAACCGACAGGGATGCCCAAATTTTTCGACGAAAAGAAAAATTTCGAATCGTTCTAAAAAAATTATTTTCGGTTGCGGGGGTCAATTACAATCATTTTTTATGAATACACATACCTTCAAAATCCTACGCACTTTCGAGAAAAAATTCAGTAAGTGCCTAAATTTTTCGACGAAAAAAAGAAAAATTCAAATCGTCCTGGAAAAATTATTTTCGGTTGTGGGAGTCAATTACAATCATTTTTGGTCAATAGACATACCCCCGAAATCCTGCGCATTTTCGAGAAAAAAATTCAGTACAGACGAAACTTTAAACGTTATTAACTTTTTAACAAAGCCTCCATCAACAAATTAGTATTCTTGATTTTCGTCCTATTTTGGTCTCTAGAATCTCTCATTAAAATTTTTCCCAGGGGTGGCTGAACACCCTATATAAATCGATACAAAATGTTATATAAATATTCCGAGCAAACAAGCAGAAATGGTACTGTTAATTGGTACATTAAATATTGGTGTCGACTAAAAGTCACTTAAAATCCATCCCTTTAGAGAGATATTTATGTATAGTGTTATTTTTAATAAAACCGACCAACATTTGGTAGTTCATATATTAAGATTTATTCCACGTTTCGACTCTGCTCGGATTATATTCAATTTGTCGCTCAAGGTCGCATCCCCAACTGCAAATTACACCAGACATTCCTACTTCCACGCAACACCGACTTGCCTCTTTGATTGAGAGACGAGTGTACTTCAAATCAACGTCAAACGCTTCACCGACAACGTTTACATAGACGCTGCACTCACCCACTCTAACTTTGACCGACTTTATACGTTCACCGATACTCGCAAACATCGACACGTGTTTCCATTTGTATTATTTGTTTATTCACGCTATCGCAAATAGGGAAACATTTTCCCGCTGTATCATCATTTATTTTTACATGAATGGTATAAAATATAACATTGAAAAAATACAATTGAAAAAGTGTAACATCTTTTTATTATATATATATATATATATATATATATTTTGTAAATGAACAAAATTCATCAAATGGTGGATTACAATTTTATCAAATAAAATTTTATCCGAGCAGTGTCCAACCCGAATAATATTGATAAATAGATAATGTCGATGGTAACGGTTAGAATCAGATTCGTAGAAACAGAGTCGGTGTAAATATTTGTCGCTTTGAAGTACGCCCTTCAGAGACACAGAGTGCATGTGTCTCCATGTTTGCGGAAAGAGACGAGAGATGGAGCGACAGAGCAACGAAATGATAGATGGGGGATTACCCGCCAATAGCCTTGAGTGGTCAGTTGGTTTTGATTCGACTCTAAATCTACTTTTTCCTTTCGTTGTATACGAATTTTCAACATTAGAATACACCGATAATATATTCACGTGCTAAATTCATCGCCCCGCGTTTCGCAATTTTCGTTGCAACAACAAATAGTATTGTGCTAACGAATGGAAAGTAAACGATGTATTTAAATTTTACGCGCATGCAATACCAGCGCGTTAAAAACGACGAAAACAAAAATATCGTGGATTCATTTCGATGGAAGAAATAAATAAACGAGTACTTTTATTTTACCTGGATCACCGTTGCTGCGAGATGCTTCAAACTATCCGCGTAATTTTTTAGCACCGTGTCTGTGGTCATGCAGCTTACACGAAACTCGTAAAACATGTCCAGTTTATACACGCATCTCTGGCAGATATTTTTTGGTAATGCATCCTCTTTCGTTATCTGCAACAAATTTCATATTTCAACGTTCGCGGAAAGAAAATTGAAACAACCGTAAATATTTATCATCAAAGAATCCCTTTATAAATATTTGTACACAACGATAGCGATAAACTTATCACAGAAAATAAATCACAGTGAAAACTGTATTAGAAAGAAAAGTTTATATTAACTAAAAATACCTTATTTATATTAAATTTAAAAATAATTTACTAATAATTTATTATCTTGAAATCTGTTCGGATCTAAAATGACAAGTAGACCCAAAATATTTAAAAATGCAAAGTATAACGAGCACCTACAGGATACGGTGCTTTAAGCTAATTGTATTGCTCTCTGAATAATCAATGCTTAAAGCACAGCATTCCTTAAAAGGAACAAAAACATATAGATAAGAAAATGTTTAAATTCTAAATTTAATCCTCTTGTATTGTTACATTCAAATATTCTATATATGTGCATTAGGCTGTTACATTTGAGATCAATGCTTCTATAAAGAGCACACGAGCTAACATGAAAAATACATAACATGATAAGAACTTAATTCTAATCTTATGTAAATCTGAAGCACATATGTTACATGCAAGTATGGTGATAGTATGGTGATACTAAACTGAATCCATTATTATAGAATGACTATAAAATCCCATTCCATCGCTCTTTCCTAAACCTTTGTAACAAGCTTCTTCTATCTTACGAAATCCATTCATAATAATCGATACTTTAATACAACACAAAGCTTAATTGAGAGATAATGTAAGAGAAGTTGCATTTGTAATGATGGAGAAACATATTTGTACCAGCTTTTTCTAAATTGATTAATCAGTAAATGTTAACATAAACTCGATTGTACAAGGCACGCGTTTCAAAGAGAATCTCGTAAATATAGTACAGAACCGAATAATAACTACCCAATTGAACGACGAGAATTTTTGTAACGCGAGACAAATATTTGACTTACCACAGCAGGAATGCAGGAACGTATTTTGAAAAGTAACTGCCGCTGTTCGCCTTCTTTGTCGAAGATCTGAAGCTGATGGTTACTCTTCAATGAGCAAAGTCTGCACAGTTCGGCAAAATTGAAGTCTTCGTTCATTGCCATCCTTTGGAACCCCGGTTAAACACAAACGCTCAGCGACTATAGTTAGGTTATGCTGTCCGCGACCGTTCGTTTTTTCGTAATTGTTCGACGTAACAAGGATCACCGCCGACGCGACGAAAAACCGCGACCCCGCGGAAATGAATCGATAAACAAAAAGTAAGTCGATCGCGACGAACGTTAAGAAATGTGAATTTCTAACGAAACTAAAATAACGCCGCCATTTGATTCTTTCTCTGTCGCTGTTGTCCAGCATGCACGATGCCCGACTCCACATTGCGCGACACGGAACCACCTGCTGGGTGGTGAACGTACCAATAAAGGGTTGTACACCTCGGTAAAACAGTTAACCATAAAGGAAGCACACTACAGTTGAAACGATATTAATTTCCATTAAATTACCTGGGGGTGTGATTGGAGTTAAACACAATTTTAAACTAGGACTAGAATATTGTTTTGAATTTAAGTACTAATGATGGACTTTTTTTTAATTATATACAGGATATTCGGCCACCCTTGGGAAAAATTTTAATGGAAGATTCTAGAGGCCAAAATAAGACGAAAATCAAGAATACCAATTTGTTGATGAAGGTTTCGTTAAAAAGTTATTAACATTTAAAGTTCCGCCCGTACTGAATTTTTTTCTCGAAAATGCGCAAGATTTCGGAGGTATGTCTATTCACCAAAAATGATTGTGGCGTCGCCTCCCATGCTCGCCACCAGAGGGGTCGCGCTCTCACAAGCGTTCGACCGACCCCTCCGTTGCTATATACATATACACTCCTCGAACGACTTCCCAATATCCGCCACAGAGGTTTTTGAAACTTTTCCCTCTAACTTTAATCATGAAATCTAAGTAGATAAAACTCTACACAACAAATTCCACAACTACACTAATCTAACATGCTAAATGCAGGTTATAGGGTGTAAAGCCCACGGTACTGCAAGCATACAGTGAGAAACTCCAAAACTTCCCAATATCCCAGTCGTCTAAGGCAGGGCCTGCTAGAAAGCCTTATGATGAGTCCACTGGCAGGCCCGGACGAAACGCGCCCCCTCCTTTCCTTTTCTGTCCTCCTACGAATTCTCACGAGATCCCCTACCCGCAGCGAAGCAGCGCCACATGATTGTAATTGTACCTCGCAACCGAGAATAATTTTTCCAAAACGATTTGAAATTTTTTTTTCCGTCATAAAATTTCACACCTTCTCGAATTTTTTTCTAGAAAGTGGGTAGGATTTCGGGGGTATGTCTATTCGCCAAAAATAATTGTAATTGACTCTTGCAACCGGAAATAATTTTTCAAGAACGATTTGAAATTTTTTTTTCATCGAAAAATTTAGGCACTTAATTAGATTTTCGGTAAGGAATTTTTTTCTCGAAAATGGTTAGGATTTCATGGGTATGTCTATTCACCAAAAATGATTGTAATTGACCCCTGAAATAGAAAATAATTTTTCAAGAACGATTTGAAATTTTTTTTTCCGTCGTAAAATTTCACACCTCGAATTTTTTTCTAGAAAGTGGGTAGGATTTCGGGGGTATGTCTATTCGCCAAAAATAATTGTAATTGACTCTTGCAACCGGAAATAATTTTTCAAGAACGATTTGAAATTTTTTTTTCATCGAAAAATTTAGGCACTTAATTAGATTTTCGGTAAGGAATTTTTTTCTCGAAAATGGTTAGGATTTCATGGGTATGTCTATTCACCAAAAATGATTGTAATTGACCCCTGAAATAGAAAATAATTTTTCAAGAACGATTTGAAATTTTTTTTTCCGTCGTAAAATTTCACACCTTCTCGAATTTTTTTCTAGAAAGTGGGTAGGATTTCGGGGGTATGTCTATTCGCCAAAAATAATTGTAATTGACTCTTGCAACCGGAAATAATTTTTCAAGAACGATTTGAAATTTTTTTTTCATCGAAAAATTTAGGCACTTAATTAGATTTTCGGTAAGGAATTTTTTTCTCGAAAATGGTTAGGATTTCATGGGTATGTCTATTCACCAAAAATGATTGTAATTGACCCCTGAAATAGAAAATAATTTTTCAAGAACGATTTGAAATTTTTTTTTCCGTCGTAAAATTTCACACCTTCTCGAATTTTTTTCTAGAAAGTGGGTAGGATTTCGGGGGTATGTCTATTCGCCAAAAATAATTGTAATTGACTCTTGCAACCCGAAATAATTTTTCAAGAACGATTTGAAATTTTTTTTCATTGAAAAATTTAGGCATTTAATTAGATTTTCGGTAAGGAATTTTTTTCTCGAAAATGGTTAGGATTTCATGGGTATGTCTATTCACCAAAAATGATTGTAATTGACCCCTGAAATAGAAAATAATTTTTCAAGAACGATTTGAAATTTTTTTTTCCGTCGTAAAATTTCACACCTTCTCGAATTTTTTTCTAGAAAGTGGGTAGGATTTCGGGGGTATGTCTATTCGCCAAAAATAATTGTAATTGACTCTTGCAACCGGAAATAATTTTTCAAGAACGATTTGAAATTTTTTTTTCATCGAAAAATTTAGGCACTTAATTAGATTTTCGGTAAGGAATTTTTTTCTCGAAAATGGTTAGGATTTCATGGGTATGTCTATTCACCAAAAATGATTGTAATTGACCCCTGAAATAGAAAATAATTTTTCAAGAACGATTTGAAATTTTTTTTCCGTCGTAAAATTTCACACCTTCTCGAATTTTTTTCTAGAAAGTGGGTAGGATTTCGGGGGTATGTCTATTCGCCAAAAATAATTGTAATTGACTCTTGCAACCCGAAATAATTTTTCAAGAACGATTTGAAATTTTTTTTTCATTGAAAAATTTAGGCATTTAATTAGATTTTCGGTAAGGAATTTTTTTCTCGAAAATGGTTAGGATTTCATGGGTATGTCTATTCACCAAAAATGATTGTAATTGACCCCTGAAATAGAAAATAATTTTTCAAGAACGATTTGAAATTTTTTTTTCCGTCGTAAAATTTCACACCTTCTCGAATTTTTTTCTAGAAAGTGGGTAGGATTTCGGGGGTATGTCTATTCGCCAAAAATAATTGTAATTGACTCTTGCAACCGGAAATAATTTTTCAAGAACGATTTGAAATTTTTTTTTCATCGAAAAATTTAGGCACTTAATTAGATTTTCGGTAAGGAATTTTTTTCTCGAAAATGGTTAGGATTTCATGGGTATGTCTATTCACCAAAAATGATTGTAATTGACCCCTGAAATAGAAAATAATTTTTCAAGAACGATTTGAAATTTTTTTTCCGTCGTAAAATTCACACCTTCTCGAATTTTTTTCTAGAAAGTGGGTAGGATTTCGGGGGTATGTCTATTCGCCAAAAATAATTGTAATTGACTCTTGCAACCCGAAATAATTTTTCAAGAACGATTTGAAATTTTTTTTTCATTGAAAAATTTAGGCATTTAATTAGATTTTCGGTAAGGAATTTTTTTCTCGAAAATGGTTAGGATTTCATGGGTATGTCTATTCACCAAAAATGATTGTAATTGACCCCTGAAATAGAAAATAATTTTTCAAGAACGATTTGAAATTTTTTTTTCCGTCGTAAAATTTCACACCTTCTCGAATTTTTTTCTAGAAAGTGGGTAGGATTTCGGGGGTATGTCTATTCGCCAAAAATAATTGTAATTGACTCTTGCAACCGGAAATAATTTTTCAAGAACGATTTGAAATTTTTTTTTCATCGAAAAATTTAGGCACTTAATTAGATTTTCGGTAAGGAATTTTTTTCTCGAAAATGGTTAGGATTTCATGGGTATGTCTATTCACCAAAAATGATTGTAATTAACCCCTGAAATAGAAAATAATTTTTCAAGAACGATTTGAAATTTTTTTTTCCGTCGTAAAATTTCACACCTTCTCGAATTTTTTTCTAGAAAGTGGGTAGGATTTCGGGGGTATGTCTATTCGCCAAAAATAATTGTAATTGACTCTTGCAACCCGAAATAATTTTTCAAGAACGATTTGAAATTTTTTTTCATTGAAAAATTTAGGCATTTAATTAGATTTTCGGTAAGGAATTTTTTTCTCGAAAATGGTTAGGATTTCATGGGTATGTCTATTCACCAAAAATGATTGTAATTGACCCCTGAAATAGAAAATAATTTTTCAAGAACGATTTGAAATTTTTTTTCCGTCGTAAAATTTCACACCTTCTCGAATTTTTTTCTAGAAAGTGGGTAGGATTTCGGGGGTATGTCTATTCGCCAAAAATAATTGTAATTGACTCTTGCAACCGGAAATAATTTTTCAAGAACGATTTGAAATTTTTTTTTCATCGAAAAATTTAGGCATTTAATTAGATTTTCGGTAAGGAATTTTTTTCTCGAAAATGGTTAGGATTTCATGGGTATGTCTATTCACCAAAAATGATTGCAATTGACCCCTGGAATAGATAATAATTTTTCAAGAACGATTTGAAATTTTTTTTTCCGTCGTAAAATTTCACACCTTCTCGAATTTTTTTCTAGAAAGTGGGTAGGATTTCGGGGGTATGTCTATTCGCCAAAAATAATTGTAATTGACTCTTGCAACCGGAAATAATTTTTCAAGAACGATTTGAAATTTTTTTTTCATCGAAAAATTTAGGCACTTAATTAGATTTTCGGTAAGGAATTTTTTTCTCGAAAGTGCGTAGGATTTCAGGGGTATGTGTGATGACCAAAAATTATTGTAATTGACCCCCACAACAGAAAATAATTTTTCCAGAATGATTAGAAATTTTTGAATTTAATTGTTTTAACTTTTTAACGAAGCGTCCATCAACAAATTGGTATTCTTGATTTTCGTCTTATTTTAGCCTCTAGAATCCCCCATTAAAATTTTTCCCAGAGGCGGCCGAACACCCTGTATATGCACTTAGATAAAAAAACATACATTGTTTTGGAATATATCCTCGATCAACGAATTTGTGTAAAACATTTTATAAACGAAATAAATTAAAATAATATGTTTGTTAGTAAGAATATAAATATGGAAACAATATTATAAGTAATGCACGTAGAATATTGATCCCAAACAAAGAATAGTGTGGCTACAGAATTTTAATTTTTGCAGATCAATGTTTAATGCCACAACTGCAAATATTTCATGTCGATTATATCTGTGTCACGTAACTACAGAAATAAATCATTTATTAATAAGAATTGTTTCATTACGAAACGCTTCAGTTTTAGTATAAACGTAGAAGTACGCGAGTGTCTCCTTCATGTTTAACATTTTTAATATTACAAAGAAGATAATTTGATGCAACAAACAAAGAATAATGCTTTATTACGGTATATTTGGTTTTATTATGATTTTGATCGGCCTGAGACTCGTTTCTGAACAGTACCTGACGTTTTATGTAACACTTGTTATACAAAAGGTAAGCTTAATTATTGTAATTTGTATAGTGTAACTGCTTAACTATTTGTCAGCCATCGATTGTTACGTAATAAAAAAGGGATCAAAATAGTAAATAATAGACCATAATTTACAGGAAATGAATCTCGTAAAAGGATCGTTAATGTACAAGGCGTGGAGCTCGCCTTTAGATTTATCCCTTTCATGTTATTTGTTCAATGTAACTAATCCTGACGACGTAATGCAAGGAAAGAACCCACGTCTGGTCGAGTATGGTCCCTTCGTTTACAAGTAAGCACGAAAATAGTCAAATTCGCCGCGACTGAAATTTAAAAGCGTTTTTCGAATTTAGCGAACTCTTTGAAAAACAAGTGATAGACGTTGACGAAGAAAACGACGAAATTACATACACAACACGGTCAACGTACACTTTCAATAAACGAAGAAGCCTGATGGTATCTAGCCACGATAAAGTCACGATATTAAATCCAGCGTACATAGGTAGCATATTAACGGTAAATAAAATTATTCAAAAATTCCACCCCTAGAAATTGGATACGAATAAAAATAGAAATATTCTCATATTTCATCTTAATACATATATTCTCTCGCAGTTAACGTCCTTGCCTGCTGATTTTATGAAAAAGTACGGCGATAATATACCGAAATTGTTCCAAAATCGCACAAGCATTTTTTTGAAAGCTAAAGCCACCGATATATTATTCGACGGAGTTAAAGTTTCGTGCAACTTAAGAAAGTTTCCCGAGTTGAATCTCATATGCAAGACGATGCAGTCTAAGCCACCACCGGTTCTGCGACAAACAGATAAAGAAGGGGTTTTTCTCCTCAGTATATTTCAGAGGGTGAGATCCAATCTTCGAAACGAACAGGAACGTAATACGAAAAATTCTTTCAAACGTTTGCTCTCATTTTACGAAGGCGTTAACAAACGTTAAAGCTTTATTACAAAATAATTATGTTTATATAAATATCGAGTTTCTGTGTTTGATAGATCAATGATACTATTCGTGGACCGTACACTGTTAACAGAGGCCTGAGAAACATAAGTCTTATGGGCTACTCAACAGCCTTCAAGGGGGAAAGAGAACAAGAAATTTGGCATTCTGAAAGCTGTAATAAAGTAAGAGGAAGCGACAGTATCATTTGGGCGCCATTAGTGAAGCCCACATCTACGGTTGTATCGTTCTCACCGGATCTATGCAGGTACAATAATATTAGTGCAAAAAATATTGGCACAGAATTTAAATTTTACCATTTTGAAAACATGTTTTTGGGTAAAGTAAATTGTCGTCGAAACAGAATGTGAACGATTTGATGATAAATCGGTGAAAAAGTTTAATTTGTTGAATGATTACCGTACAGTTGAAAATGAAATATATACAGTAACGGTTCTTTTCTTGAATCGATATTTACTTGTAACGAAATCACCTCTACCACTATGTATGTTCCTTCAACGACTGTCCACTCAAGTGGCAGGCAGCTGTGTAATTAAAAACCCCTTTGATCGACCCGTTTGAGTTCGACCAGTTTCAAGAACGAAGTCCCGTCCAAACCTCCCCACAGAAAATCTGGCAATCCGATTTGTTTGCAAGAACAGAGGCGGTACTGTAGTAGAAACAATAGTGGGCAGTTGTAATTAATTTTGTACTTGCAATTAATAGTCTCAGACCCATCTATCGAATTACAGTTCAATTTGTTACCATATCTAGGAGTATGGAAGCCGATTACGAGAAAGAGATTGCAGTGCACGGTATAGTAGGATCGAAATTTGTGATGCAGGAAAGAGTATGGCATGCAAACCAGACGCAGTGTTATTGTCCAGTGGTAAACAATGAAGCACAATGTCTACCGCAGGGTTTAATCGACGAGTCACAATGTCAGGTAACATTGTTAAAGTGTCCCAGAAAATGTTGTGCAATTCTCTTTGCTTTCTATTGTTTTAAAATTGTTTTAAATACATGTAGTTGTCGTAGAAGCCTCGAAGACGAAGATATTAATTGAAGTTACTTACTTAGTGATGCATTGAGAATATAGATGTCTGGTCTTGTTTTCTATTACTTTAAAATTGTTTTAATTACTACAAATTTATGTAGCTGTCGTAGAAACCACGATGATGAAGATATAATTAATTGAAGTCACTTACTTAGTGATGCATTGAGAATATAGGTGTCTGGTCTTGTTTTCTATTACTTTAAAATTGTTTTAATTACTATAAATTTATGTAACTGTTGTAAAAGCCATTTCGACGAAGATGTAATTAATTCAAGTCACTTATTTAGTGATGCACTAAGAATACAGGTGCTTGGTCTTGCTTTCTACCATTTTAAAATTGTTTTAATTACTATGAATATATGTAGCTGTTGTAGAAGCCACTTCGATGAAGATATAATTAATTCAGGCTACTTACTTAATGATGCATTAAGAATATAAATGTCTGGTCTTGCTTTCTACCATTTTAAAATTGCTTTAATTACTATGAATATATGTATGTAGCTGTAGTAGAAGCCACTTCGATGAAGATATAATTAATTCAGGCTACTTACTTAATGATGCATTAAGAATATAAATGTCTGGTCTTGCTTTCTACCATTTTAAAATTGCTTCAATTACTATGAATATACATATGTAGCTGTTGTAGAAGCCACTTCGATGAAGATATAATTAATTCAGGCTACTTACTTAATGATGCATTAAGAATATAAATGTCTGGTCTTGCTTTCTACCATTTTAAAATTGCTTTAATTACTATGAATATATGTATGTAGCTGTAGTAGAAGCCACTTCGATGAAGATATAATTAATTCAGGCTACTTACTTAATGATGCATTAAGAATATAAATGTCTGGTCTTGCTTTCTACCATTTTAAAATTGCTTCAATTACTATGACTATATGTAGCTATTGTAGAAGCCACTTCGATGAAGATATAATTAATACAGGCTACTTACTTAGTGATATACCAAGAATATAGTTGTCTGATCTTAGTACATCGTTAGGTATATAACTACAATTAATTATGCCTTTTAAATTATCCAGTAAGCTTGTTGCAGATGCTACCTGTAATATTTTCGGAGCCACACTTCTTGCACGGCGATCCTCAGCTTCTAGATTATGCTCGCGGCTTGAAACCCGACAAAAAATTACACGAAACGTACATTGCCATCGAACCATTGACCGGTACACCGATTTCTGGGCAAAAGAGCACACAAATAAACATGAAGCTGACTAAACAACCGGTGAAACTCCTCGCTAATGTCAACGAGGGCTACTTCCCTATCCTATGGTGCAAAAGTGTAATGATCTTTTGTAAAATTACCGTTGCCAGTGTTTTCCAAAAACGTGGGATGAAATTTATATCGACGCACCGAATATTAAAGCGTTGAATTGTATTTTAAACTTACCTACTAGTCGCGCCAAAATTTGTTTCGTGGGAAGAGAACGTCTTTCGGAAGTTTGGAAACCACTGTTTCGCATTCGATTTCAGGTCTTCGCTGTCGAAAACTGATCAACGTTTCGTGCATATTTCGACCCAATTTCTCTCGTACGATCGCACTCATTACGTAAACCGAGCGAATATGAAAGTGCTTACATAAATTCAGGGTAAGTCGTGCGACCAGTTACGGAGTTAATACCTCTGTAAGCAACGAAGATATCGCAAAGACACTCGATGGCCATTCAACGGTAAAAAAGGAGGCGTCGTTCGCGTCATATAATTTTTTCAAAACTGAATACGAGTTTTATCGAAGCTTAAAATCACCTGGGGTGATCTTCGTGGAACAGTGTATTTTTTTGCATAATTATATAATAGAGGTCAAAGTAAAATCAAGTATGCACTTGATTCGAGGAATTTATTTTTAATTCGACAAACAAGTCACGATGGAAAAAATGATGGCGATAACAGGTTCAGATGCGATGTTGTACATTTATCTCGAGTGGTGCTTGTAGCACATCTCGTATCATGTTTATAAACACTATATATCTTCTAAGTAGGTATTCTTTCTTACTTCATATGTATTGAAGGACGATTGGAATGACGTCAACGGCACACGAAGATATGAAAAATAGAATTTGCGTCGTTAATAATACTACATATAACAAATGATGTATTTTCACTTATCGCGAAACCATCATTTTTGTGATATCTTCGCCGATTACTGGGATATTACCTTGTAACGATTACGCGACTCACCCTGTATACGCATATGAAATATGGACGAAGAATACACATAATTAAATTGAAATTCAAACGAAATTCCACTGTTCAAATCATTTTATTTCCATCTTTCATCGAAAAATCTGATCACTGTTCCGTCGCTGTATTCTTTATCAAAATGTATGGTTACGAACAAAATTATCATTTCATTGCATAATTGCATTGTATAAAATTACGCGTTAAAAGTATAAAATTTTCTTAATACAACAACGAAATGATTAAACAGATAACAAATATTTTACAGGGTGACGCGTTACATATTTCTGCAATGGCGCCCACGTATCAGTTACTTCGATTGATGCAACTTGTCTCGTATATACAATATATCCCTTTGATCGTTGGAATCTACATTGCCCTGATGACTTTAGTTTTATGGAGTTTATCCCAGCCTAAATCGCAAACATCGAGCAGAGTAGAGCCGATATTAATATCGTCGAACACGCGACGGAACAATATTGTGCACAGGACACCGCATCAACCTGTGCACGCGTTCGAGAGATTTGAACGCGTGTATCCAACATTTTAGAGCTAAAGGCACGAATGTGAATAACGAGAAATAGACTTAATAATTTTGTAATTGCTTTGAAATCTTCAGATTTCACGTTATTTTGATCAGTTTTAATTAATGCTTTCCTTATCTAAAAGCATTTTCTTTCGTCTGAATACGTTGAAGGTTCCTTGTTATTTTCTTATAAAAAAATCAGTTCAGATTCGTTCGACTGTTGTACAAATTTTACACACAACCTAATAAACTCTGTCTCTCCGTACAAAAATATAATTATCTCTAACAGTTGACTCATTTTACCAATATTTATTCTCCTTTCCGAAAGTTCACTATTCTGTCAAATGCATGTACACTATTAAACAAGATTTGGCCCTACCAGCGACCTTTTATCGTTTTTCTCCTTCCAACGTCTCAAAAAGTCGTTTCCCTATTGCGCGTATTTACAATAAATAAAATTCGTCCTACTACCGATTCTTCTTCGTTGCGTTACATCCGTTTAATTCTATCCATTGAATTCATAACAAAAAAAAACAAATCCTAAGAGAAACGATACGCAACGATACTCGCGATTAATTTTATGATAACACGCGTGTTAAAAAAAAAAGGAATGCTTAAGTAGAATGTTAAAATAAATACAGAATGTACATGAAAAGTCTTAAGAGTAAATACTCCATCGTAACGCGGGTTACGTTTATCGTAACAATGTCACTTTTGTCGAACGTACATCGAAAAGCGTTTCGATATACTCCTAGTATTTTCTTTCTCGAAGAAAACCGCTGCCTCGAACGTGAATCTTTATACGTACGTGTCCGTGTGTGGGAATTTAGAGCGTCACACCTACGGATAAAGATTTATTATGTTCCTTATGGAGATCCACGAACCGAATACCAGCGCGAACATCGAGAACACTACGAGCACACAATTCTTCCAGAGCCTCCAGTTGTACGCGCCAAGGTGGCCCTCCCAGCACGAAATTGTTTCCACGATCGCCGGAATACTGATACCCAGGACGGAGAAAAACACCGCGCCGACCAAAGAAATAAATGGTTCGAGGTCCGGGACTACCAACGCTACGATTACTGCAAAACGAAAGAAACAATCTTTGAATTTTACAAGTAGTCGCCATTTCGAAGATGGGAAGTCTTAATATTGATATAAGTGTGACTTATTCTGTGGTCAAAAAAAGTCTTATAGAAGACTTATCTCTAATAATAATTCTGGTAGTCATTGATGCAAGATTTGAAGTACATTTGACCGGTTTGTTTTTATAGAGTCGACGAACAAAATAAATAAATTAAATAAATAATTCTAATATCTTACTCTTCACGAAGAAATTTAATATTCCTTTAGAATTCAAAGTGAAATTATACTCAAAAATAAGATTCCTTTTTTGACATTGATTGCATTCTTATTGAAACCTTTCGTGTTAAAGATTATACTAAAATACGCTTTACCTTTAAATTAGAATATATCAAATTCAACATATGTTGCTAACAATATTTTCTATAATTTTGAATATGGAATCTGGCACCTGTCAAATTGACTGCTTCTGTAAATCTAGCGTTTACATGGGGGAATAAATTATATTAAAATTTATCTTTAAATTAGAGCACATCAAATTCGACATAAATTGCTAGCAATTAATACTTTCTGTAATTTTTAATATAAAGTCATCTGTCAAATTGACGGTTTCCGTAAATCTAGTGTTTATATATCGAAGTAATGATAACGATGCAGTTGTCGAAGGTCTTAAATTATTGTTAGAAAAGAAATTGCAACATCCGCTGTTTTGTGTCTATTAGGAGGGAGAGGGTGGCACGGCATTGAGAAGTCGAAACACCAACCGAGTAAATATCAACGTATGTAGACTCTCAATGAGTCGAACGAGCACGAGTCACTGAACGGTGCTTACGACTGACGAGTGAGTCATGCGGTTACAGAACCAACAGGTATTTCCCTGGCCCAGTCAGCATCCACCTTTCCATTACAGCTCGTGTTTCTCTCTTTCTTTCTTAGGAAAGTAACACGCGCGTCTGGAACACGCTCGACGTCGTAGACCAGCGATAAACTAGAAGAGTAATCGCGATTCGCTATCTCCGTAATATCGAAACATTTGCCTCGTTTATTTGCGTTCGCTGGCGGCGGCAATTTATTACGAGGACGTTAAATTTTATGGAAACTAATCGCTGTAATCATCTGTAATTTTTATACGCGACGGGAGCGTGCCTTCTGTTGTGAAATCGTTGATGTTACGAGGAAAGGGAACGAGATATCGACGAAAGTGTACACTATCGTTTCGAACTGTTTCGTAAACTATGAGGAGGTTGCAGGAAATGCAATTTACTCTCTTTTCGTTTCCTAGATCCTATTAGAAATATAATTCTAGCAATTATAATTCGTTGAACACGAACGAAGTCGAATTAGAGATTTTACGAACTGGATCATAGGAACGAATTAATGAGGTAGTGATTTTAAATTTAAATATCGAATTGTTTTAAAAAACGAGGAGAACTTACTTGTGAATAGAACCATGGCCACCCTCACTATAATCTGGCATATGCCTTGGTACTTGTGACTGCATTGCTCCTTCAAGGAGTGCCATATAATGTCCAATGGCACGAAGTACTGTAGTCCGTACGTGAACAAAACGGCTATGGCGATTAGTATTTTCACTGCTTGTCCCAGTCTGCGAAAGAATTCGTTCGTATTAGAAACAAATTTCGTACATTAAATTATGTAATAAATGCAAACAGACTTATTACACAACCTAATAATACGAAATGTCAGAAAATGTACAGTGAAAATATCATTTGTTCTAAAATGAAGTCGAGGGCATTTATAAACTTGTGAAATAAAAATAAATAGATCGCTCTGTAACGAAAATAGACAATTTTTTATTTAGAAGAAAGCCTTTAACATTTCCTAACTCGACTTAGCGTAACTTTTCGGTCTCGATGCTGTTACACTGACTCAGGGAGGACTCCAATGCAATAATAAATAGCAAAACAAACTTTTTGCAGACTGTATCTTTGATACTATCGTTCTACTTGAGTGTGTTTCAAATAGGCACTTCGCAATACTCCTTACATTTAATATTTCTCACGTTATTCCTGATTATCAAATTTAAAAAGTACCATTCCTCTCACTGTTGGGTCCAAAATACCTCGTAAGACTTAAAATGGTCCCCCGATTTGGTGAATTAAATAATATACAAATTTAAAGGGAAACAATCTCACGCCTCTATTCATTCTTTGCTTATTTTACAAATTAAAAAAAAAATACTTACACATCCTCGATCGGGATATTCAACGTGATGCTCCCCTTAACGTCCTCGCCATAAGTCAGGTAACCGAACACACCTAATATAGTGTACAGAGACACTACTATCGTCATAGTTATGTTGAGGACACTGGGACATCCCAGAAAATGGTGCGGATTCCGCATGCTGTTCTCCACGGGCATCACCTGCGCAAAAATTAAGTTTACAAAATCTCGATGCTTTTGGTTTCAAGATTTTTTCAATCGCCCTGCATGAAATCATACTTACAACGCCGATGCCCTCGATGGCAAATATCACAGTCGCGAAGAACGTGGGCAGCTGCTCGATCGACGAGAACAGTTTCACGTTCGTCGATGTTTGGATTCCGCTGAAGACGTAGTAAAGGGTTATCGCGAAACCGACCATCATGCAGACATTGGCGGCCATGGAAAACGGCACCAGGTATTTCAAGTTTCGCACCTGTCCGAGCAGCAACATTGCTGGAATCAGCGTGATTATATACGTACGGATCGATATGTCCATATCACTGTAATAGTTGGCCACCTGAAAGGAAACAAAGCAAAATTTGATCGTGAAAACAAGTATAAAAATCTCGAATAAATTTTAATATCAGCGAACGAGTGCATTTTTTTATGTGTCCTTTAAATAAGACATTGATACCCAGTAAATGAAAAGAGGAGACAATGATTATTTTCTATGCTAATGTACGTTTATTTACTAAATGTACCGTTTATGAAACGAAAGAAAAATAAAGTCTTGTTTGCACAAGAGAGATGGCTATTTACTAATTTCCGTGTTTCAGGAAAGTTCGTTCACTGTTGATTTACGCTCTCAACCGTGTAGTGGTTTGAAACTCGTTCGAACACAGTGTAGTTATTTCATGTTTGCAGGCAAACAGGCCGGATTCTACAGGTCGATAGATTTGGAACGAGTCTCGAGGCTACGCGTTGGCATAGATTTTCAATTGTGATGAAAAAATCAATACAAATGACACGATTCATTAGTTTTGCGAATTATTTTTGTAAAGACTTACATCGTCGTCAGATAGAATGAAATTTTTTAAAATCAAATATTTTGCAAACATTTTATTTATCTTTATCTAGATTTGAAATACAAGATCGGAGTCAACAGTGTGATATACATAATTACCCATTTCAACCAGGTATTACCGAGGATTAATATAAATTAATAAGATATCGAGAGAATAATATACAAATAAAGGTGAAGCATTTCTGATTTCTCGTTATAAACTTTTCGACCATACGATAACAATCTATTGAAAAATAAAAATAAGTGTTTAGAGTAGGAAGTTGAAGGTAAACTCTCGTTAGCAAATCTTTCGTGTGCTGAATAAAATCACAAAATATGAATGTTGATACTGCAATTTCCCAATATCATTGTTCACGTTCGAACAAACTGCATCACGTGTGCGTCAGCTTCTTTTCAATATTAGGATTATTGGTATCAGCGATGGTATAGCGTTCACTTGACGGTATCAGAGCTGTTTTGACACTGAACTTGTGAAGATTGATTCACCACTGGCGCTAAAACTGCTCGTATCAGAAATACAGGTGAATCACCAGATCGAACGACCTTAATTTACTCGTAAAAACTTGAATTATTCGACGATAATTCTCATGAACTTCCTTCATAATCAGAGTATTGAAGTTTCCTTCGATTTCACGAACGAATCACTCGACGTTTCGCTTCGAAATTTGAAAACGTCGAACAACGAATAAAGAAGCATTCTTTAAGTAGTCTATCATTGATTTGATAAACCTTTTATTCAAAAGCCATTATCGAAAATTAAGTGCATAAGCACTGAACGATTAGAAGTGATACACACGACGAACTGTTTCAGGTTTCATAATGAGAGATGGGTGAAATTTTATTCGAATTATAGATCAGACAATGTTTATTTTTTTGTCTTGAAATATTCAATTCGATATATTAAAATTTTTATCTAGCAGCTTCTTTGGTAAATATATTTTGTCAAAACGTATTATTCTTCTCTATTTTACGAATCACTGACATTTTTAATCGCTTTGGGAGGAACAGAAACATTGTTTTAATCTTATAAAGCGTTTTACAAAGTTTCAAACACTCTGGAAATTACAATGGACAATTTTTCTACGTATGTACTTTTTCGCATCTGTCCAATTCCATCGTTGAATTTTAAGTATCTAGCAATGCCATTTTGTTCTTAAAGAGTCACGTTCGTAAACACCTGACAATGCAGATTGTATTCGTCGATTAAACATGATTTTAATGCTTCAATATACTTTTTCTAATCATTTAATACCTTCCCGACTTCCAAAGAAAATATTGAGCGTTCCGTCGAATAAACCGCGTGTAATCTTCGTGCCACGATAAAAAATCAAGGTAGCAAGAAGCCATGTATTATATCACATAATCCTCACGATACCATGCAACTTTTGCTCGAAATATCTTTCCATAAAACAAACAGTTTGCACGTTTCACGTGTCACGTTTCACGGTTCTCGACTCGAAGGGATGGCCACGATAACAGCACGCAACATTCACGATTTTTTATTATACTTCTCACGAAATTGTATCGTTATATATTTAAATACCAAATGTCTTTTTTCTCGCTTAAAATAATTTTTCCCTGTTTGAATAAGATAATTCTGGATACATTTCGATTAAAGGAGCTTACCTGTTGAATGGAGGTCGCCACGAAGACCACGTAAACGCAAGCTCCGCCAATGTACGTCGCGCATAATGCAATCTCTACGAATATCCGACTGATGTTCGCGAAAGGCCTGACTGATTTTGGCCCGTAAAGAAAAGCTGCTTCCGCTGTTTCCGCGTACGTCATGCTGGATGTTTTCGTTCGTTTGCAGAGCACGTGGGAGGAGCGTACCAATATGTGAACACAGTGGGCGCATATGAATCCAATTATTATCGTCCCGATCCCGCCGATCACCAGTCCACCATTTTTTATTGCACTTGGCATGGCTAAGACCCCAGTGCCTAGAGACGATTTCAGCAGATGGGCCAAGGCACCCAAATCTCTACAACACGAGAGATTATTTCGTTACAGATGCCCAATTTCAATATTTTTCAAAAATGTAACTACATTTATGGATATTTCTATTTGTATCAAGTATTATAATAATCTTCTGTCTTTGAGAAATTTATTAACACGTCATGAAAGAAGAAGAACTACCTTGTATGAAAATTTAAAATCAGTTACAAAACAGCGTCTGAGAATATTTTCATCGTTGATTCCTTTTAAATGTGTGTTGTTAAGAAAATATTAACTTACGAATTGGTGTTCTTCTTGTCACGGTGCTCGAAGGGATTGTAGAGTTCATCTTTCTCATTGTAATCGCCGATAACAACACCAGCTATTTTGGTGCTAAACAGTAAAAGAAAAAGATTGATACCCTTAATTTAAATAAATTACTTTTTCATGTTCTTTACAAATTAATATCTTGCTTAATTCGCGTTTCATCTTAACATATTTATGAAAAACTGGTGGAATTGTATAACAGAAATATGTAACTGCAAATTTTAACAGTACAGAAATTTTATGAACGTCTTAAAAAATCTGATAACGTTTCTGTACATTCATAATGACGCAATCGTTGATTCATATGTATCAGACTGTCAAAATTAAATTAATTGCTCTTTCATGTGGGAGACGAGTTATAATAAATAACAAAGAAGATGTTAGTAGATCGATCAAGTATTGCGAGCTGTTGAAGAATTGACATTTTTTCGTACTAAAAGTGTGTATCGATACGGTATCGTTATTATTGAAAAGATCTATCAATTAAAATGTTACACATTGTTTAATAATGCGTTGCATGTTTGATTAATTGGACGTTGTGAGTCTATAATCAAACAAATTTGAACGTGAATGGTACGAATTAATTTCGCCTCGAGTTGATAAAGTGATTATCAGAGTAACAAGAGTCGTCTCTGTTTATGGAAATAGAAAATAGTATGACTACAAAACGATACCTGCTGTTGAACTCTTGCATTTGATTGTCAGAGGCTGACTTCTCCTTCGTGTCTTTCCCCATGGTGAATCTGAAAAAAAAACATATATTTATGTAATACTTGTTACTTTTAAAATTATGTTAAATTTATAATTATTTATTGAGAGCATAAAATCGATGGTAATCCCTATGAACTTAACAATTTATTAAATCAAAAATTAACAAATCTGCCAATCGAGAAAATTTAAATTTTTTTAAAAATTTGAATAATATTCAATCTGTTCTTACAAAAAAGTATTTAAATCACGATAATCTGTACATTATATTCAAGCTTGAACTGTGTTCTTGCAGACATTATTCCTCCAAGGAATTATTTTAGAAAAGGCCACGGTATCATCGAAGACCTATATGTGGCAGACATGAAGAAACATTAGAGAGTCGAGTAATATTTGCTTAGAATTACAGCTCGTACGAGGACCGACTAAAACGTCTGACCCAACACGACACGCAACTACTTCTAGAACCGATCTTTCTTCCTTCAATACAAAAATCTTACGCCTTGCATCGATCCATTTAAAATCTTTCCACGGAGAAAATATAACTTTCAACGAATTCTGAATTGTCGTACAAAATTATATAATATTTGTATAATGGTAAACTCTCTGTACTAAATTCTGAAGTGTCTCTTAAAAGTAAACAGTCCTTATAACACATTCAGTGTGGAAAGTATGTCACGTAAATATTATTATTGATATCCTGACACAATAAATAATACTTTCAGAATGATATAATAAAACAAAGGCACGCGTTTTATATGTACATTGATTAGCTGCGTTCCTTATCTTTCCTTGTTAATAAAAAGCGATCTTCGGAGCAATCTGACCGAATTTACACTAATACTGAAATTAATGCTTGCAATGGCATCGATTGAAAACAGCTTAATGGGAAATTATGCAATTTTACAAATACCTTTCAAAAAGATCTAGTCAGGTTCGAGCGAAGATCCAGTTTCGAAGTTCCAATTACTTTCTAAGCAAATAATTAAACTGTCCAAACTTGCATGGAAATGTTGACGAATTCCTCACTCGACTCTAGAGAATCGTTTAATTAACTCTCTATAATAATCGATGGACTACATACTCTATCATCCTGATAATTCTTTTATCTTTCAATCTATTTCTAACGCGAAATCAGTAAATTTATACCGAAATAGCTTTTCTATATCACTACTTTTCAGTAAGTGGTCATAAATTATAATCTGTTGAAGTCCAGATATCTCAGTTAATTAAATTTCAATCGAATATCAATTGACTGCTATAAACTAAAACTTTCTTATCGCGCGGTACGAAATTTTTACAGATCGAATCTCACTGCACAAACATTAAATTATTATCAAAATAGGTGATTTCGCGAAACTAGATTTCGTACGATACACGATAGAGAAACGTTTGATCCAGATAATAAATGCGTTTGAAAACAAACTTGTTCCTTCGACCGTTCTATGATATTAATAATTTGTGCGTATAATCTTAAAAAATGCATTATAGCACTCATATCAGCGAAGTTGAAGGATAAATAAAAGTATTTTGTATGTATCTCAACCACGTTACTTTTTTCTGATGTGTCAATACTTCTTTCTTTGACATTCTTGTGGTATCACTGTTTGACATATTATTTACATAATTTCCGGCCTTGGAAAAGTTGAAAAAATTCTAAATATTATCTATTGTAGAGATATACTTGATCAATGTTGGCAATGTTGACTTGTTCGAAGCCCATATGGGTTAGAGATGAGTCTGAATAAAAATTTTAAACGGAACGTTTAACAGCGTAGTCTTCTTTAATCGACAAAAAGCTTCGAAATTCTGATCCGACGTCGCAAAAGAATTTCTGGAAAACCGTCCGAACCATACGGAAGCATCGCGACTCTAATTTGTTCTCATTGTTCTTCGCAGCGCGACGTGCACTTGCGTCATTAACGCCAACAATTAACAAAAACAAACGAATTACCAACGCACCGTACGGTTCAGAGCGTGTTGTTACACTAGCTTGACCCTGGACATTATTCCTCTACATGAAAGAACTCTATCTTTGTTCACGTTGCATTGCAAAGAGAAACAATTAAGTGACTAACGCTCGCGGGTAACTGAAAGGAAACGAGCGCACCCAGAATATTGTATTCGATTTAACACGCGCTTTGTCCGGTCGCGTTACGCAATTTAGACGATATTATTTCATAGAAAATTGAATTTAATTGTCTTATTCGTCGCGGAATTCCTCTTTTTTTTTCTCCGTGAAACATGTTTTCCGTTTATTCCGAAGGTCGAGCGTCGTCATTATCGCCGACAGTTATCGAAAGACGATTACGGACCGTCGAAGATCGGAAACTATGAAACCTTATTCATTAATAAACATTTGCGGAATTCGCGAGAAAACAAGAGTTTTCAGAAACGTCGATGCATTCCGCCGACGCGTTGAGTAATCGAACGCCTCGGGGCCTGTGACGAGTGCAATCGAGGCGTAATGTAATGCAAATTGTAACGTGGTGAACGCGATTGAAATGTAATTTTACCGATTACAAATATGGCTCGGATTACATTTTGCAATGGGGTCAAGTATGCGATGAATAGTATAAATTCCTCTCGGGAGATGTTCCAGTGATAGATAGATCTTTGACAGACCGCGTGCACAGTTTGTATGAATATAAAAAATAATGCGATATTTATGTATAATTTAAAAATAGTAAATAAATAATAGTAGCTTGCAGTTGGAAGCTTAATATAACGAATGAAAATTGAAGTTGAAACCTGTTTCTGTTTATCGTACTTCCTTGTTTCTTACTTATGTATGGATAAGTGAAAAAGGTTTATTATATTTCTTGTAGTTTATACTTTGACACGATATAACTTTGCACCCAGAAACACAGAATATGTATTATAGTTGATCCAAGGTATTTATTTGTGGATATATTTGGTGACTTCATTGTATATTTTGAAGTTTACTCGTACTGTTGTGTGTGAGCAAGTACTAGGAGTTATGGTTACGGGGTCAAGGAACAACTTTCACAAAATTGTTAGAATTTCTACATATTCTACACCAAAATACGAGTTGTTTGCAGTTTGAAACATTAACATCCTCTAATCCGTTCATGAGTTATGACGTTTTAAACATACGCATGAAATTTCAGGGGAATCTTCTGAGGAACCATTTCTGGTCAGACATTGTATTTTCGGTAAAGAATTTTTTTCTTGAAAATGGTTAGGATTTCGGGGGTATGTCTATTCACCAAAAATGTTTGTAATTGACCCCAGCAACCGAAAATGATTTTTTGAGATCGATTTGAAATTTTTCAATTTCACCGAAAAATTTGTCCACCTTCCTGAATTTTTTTCTCAAAAATACGTAGGATTTCGGGGATACATCTATTCACCAAAAGTGTTTGTAATTGACCCCAGCAACCGAAAATAATTTTTTGAGATCGATTTGAAATTTTTTAATTTCACCGAAAAATTTGTCCACCTTCCTGAATTTTTTTCTCAAAAATACGTAGGATTTCGGGGGAACATCTATTCACCAAAAATGATTGTAATTTACTTCTGCAACCGAAAATAATTTTTTCAGAATGGTTTGAAATTTTTCAATTTCCCCGAAAAATTTATCTACCTCCCTGAATTTTTTTCTCAAAAGTTCATAAGATTTCGGGAGTACGTGTATTCACCAAAAATGATTTTAATTGACCTCCCTAGCTAAAAATAATTGTTTTAGAACGATTTAAAATTTTTTTTTCCCCTGAAAAATTTAGGCACACCCCTGTTCAATTTTTCTTAGAAATTCGTTTTTGATTTTTAGTAATTTTGTTTGACACCCTACAGACAAGTTGTCTAATACATTTTTGTAGGAACCCATAAGCTCTACTTCAGAAAAAAGTTTTATTGAAATATATTCATTATTATAGGAGTTATGGCTGTTTGAAAACTGTGGCATTTTTATGGGGGTTTTCCCACTTTACGGGGTCAAGGAACAACTTTTTCAATATTGGTAGAATTTCTACATATTCTTCGCCAAAATACGCGTTGTTTGCTGTTTGAAACATTGAAATCCTCCAATCCATCCAGAAATGAAATTTTCGAGTGACATTTCTGGCTTGAAATTATATTTTCGGTAGGGAATTTTTTTCTCGAAAATGGTTACGATTTCATGGGTATGTCTATTGACCAAAAATGATTGTAATTAACCCCTGAAACTAAAAATAATTTTCTTATAACGATTTGAAAATTTTAAGTCTTGTCGAAAAATTTCACACCTACTGGAATTTTTTTCTCGTAACTGGTTAAGATTTCGAGGATATGTCCATTGGCCAAAAATGATTGCAATTGACCCTTGCAATCGAAAATAATTTTTTTGGAACGATCTAAAATTTTTTAATTTTATCGAAAAATTTCTGCACCTCCTGTCGATTTTTCTTAAAAATTCGTTAATAAACTGAACCATGGGTAATGTAGTAATTCAATTTAGTGATAAAAAATAAAATATATAAAATTATAGTATCGACGTCACTGCTGGATACATGCGGCTGTGACTTCTTTGTTTGAGTGAAAGGTAATCAGAACTCTACTGTATCTCGAGTTCTCTACTTGTTAGAGTAGCTATCACCCAGTTTAAGTACTCTACTCGATTTTCTATGCAAGGGATGTTCATTTCGTCGAACAGACGAGATCCAGGTAACCGTCTCAGACGTTGAATAATCGGCTGGTTCGGGAATCGATCGAACACACCCTACAATTACGGTGTTGCAGCTGGGGCATATCCTTGAACGCTTCCACGGGAACGTAGGTACACAATGCACGTAGAACTTTCTAATGTCAGGAAGGAGAAAGGACTCACGAAGTGGCTAATAAATATTCTGATGTAAGCGAAGGACAGGAAGGAGTCACGAATAAACCGGCGGGTTAAGCAGAATTATGCTCGGCTCCCCCTTAGGTGTATCGAGATCTACGAATACGGCTAATCGCGTCGGAGATCTGGGATCTATGGACTGGAAATGCCGATACCTCGGGGATAATATCGGCACGAATTCTCGTGGCTGGTCTG